GAACTCTCGCGCCTTCTCGTCATTTTAGAGCGCAGCTCTCAGGGGCCCGTTTCCAGCCTGAGCGGCGTCGCCGTCGCCGTCGGCGTCGGCGTCGGCGTAACCGCGCCCCTTCTCTCCTCCTCCCCCTCCTCCTCCCCTCCTCCTCCTCTTCCTCCCCCTCCTTCTCCTCCTCCCCTCATTGTGTAGTATGGTCCGGGCGGGTCACGTGACCTCGGGGGGAGGGGGTCACATGACCCGTTTCCAGCCTGTGCGGCGTCGGCGTTGGCGTCGGCGTCGCCCCTCCCCCTCCTCCTCCTCCCCCTCCGTTCCTTCTCCTCCCCCTCCTCCCCCGCCCAGGTCACGTGACCCCGGGGGGTGACTCCCCTCCCCCCGTCGAAGTCACGTGACGGCCCGCCCAAGGTCATGTGATCCCGTCCCCTCGAGGTCACGTGACCCCCCGGACCTCTGTCCTCCTCCCCCTCCTCCTCCTCCCCTCATTGTCTGGTTCGGGGGGTCACGTGACCTCGGGGGGAGGGGGTCACATGACTTCAGCGGCGAGGAGGAAAGCAGTACGAAGGTGGAGGAGGGGGGGAGGAGACACGAGGAGGCGGAGGCGAGGGGAGGGGAGGAGCTTGAAGGACGAGGAGGTGGTAAAGGAGAGGGAGGGGGAGCAGGAGGGGAGGAGGACTAGCAGGCATGATCACGAGGGAGGAGGAGGAATATACCCTCCACTCCTCCTCCTCAAGAGCTGCGCTCCAATTCGGCGTTACAGGAAGTTGTAAACGGCTTTCACTTTTTTGACTGGATGTTACGAGAACAGCTGCCGCAGCCGGCGCCACCGCCGCCGCTCGAAGGAAATAGATGTAAACGCAACCCGCTCGTTCTCGTAACATCCCGTCAAATAAGACGAGAAGGCGCGAGGAGTTCCCACCTCGACTGTCTCCCGGCCAATCCCGGGCGTTGCAGCACCCGGAAGAACGACTACTCATGACGTAGGCAGCGTCGCGCTGCGCAAGAATGCCACTTCCGGTCAGCGAAACGCCTCGTTCGGCGGCAGAAATAGCCGCGTTTTCCTCCCAGCGTTTCGCCCCAGCGGCAAGAGCTGGGCGGATTCGCTGGCGGATCCGCAAGTGTAAACGTACCATTAGGCGCCCGTTTCCGGCTTGAGCGGCGTCGCCGTCGGCGTAACCAAGGTCACCCCAAGGTCACGTGACCCGCAGGACACCCCGAGGTCACGTGACCCCTCCCAAGGTCACGTGACCCCCCAAGTCACGTTACCCCCCTCCCCCCCCCCCCCCCCCTTGAAGTCACGCGACACCCCCCCCCCCCCCCACCCCGAGGTCACGTGACCCCCTCCCCCCAAGGTCAGGTGACCCCCCCGGAGCATATTAAAGAATGAGGGGAGGAGGAGGAGAAGGAGGAAGAGGGGTCTACCCTCCCCTCAGTACTCTTCCCTCCTCCTCCTCCTCAAGAGCTGCGCTCCAATTCGGCGCTACAGGGAGTTGTAAACGGCTTCCACAGTTTTTTCGCAACGTGCATTCCGCACCATCAAGAGTGCCGGTCTTAGCAGCCTATCGATGTGAGCTCGTTCTGAGCATGCGCTCTAAACAGCATCCACAAATATGGCGTCCAGCGAATACTCCCCAAGAGTCCCCATAGCTGTACTATAGCGGCCAGCCTGCAAGTGCGCGTGCATAACATGCGAACACAGCAATGAACGCGCATATAGAATTACGAATCGGACAAATATCGTAGCTCGACAGAGGTCAGCGACGCTGAACGCTGGCTGGAATAGAAATACCTGCGCTTGTATTCTTTGCTTGATGATGGCATCAGTGGCGTCGGAACAGGCGTGGGGAGCTGCCCCCCTTTCCCGTCGCACCACCTTCTTCGGGGGGAGGGGGAGGAGGAGGAAAAATACCCCCCCCCACCCTTTTTTTTCCGTCGCTCCACCTCCCGAAAATTTTGAAACGGCGGAAGCTACGGCCCTAGCGAGCCAATCAGCACGTCGGTGAGAGACACCTGACTACACTCTATCTTGAGCGCAGTGCTGTCGGAAACACGGGCGGGAGAGAGAGGAAAGCCGCCTTCCGTACGAATTTTGAGTGACAGGCTAATCTCCGAGGGAAACGAAAGCGACGTTTGAGGGTAAGAGGGGACTCCATCCTCCTCCTCTACTGCTCGGGTTACGCTCTTGCCACGTGCTACGCCTCCGTTGCTCTGATTAGCTCAAAAACAATGGGGAAGAAGCAATTCCTTTTTTTTTTTTTCGTGAAATTAAGCACGTTAGGTTTATTTAATTTATATATACTAAAGAAAAAGCACCTTTTCTTTTTTTTTTAGTAAGTAAAGAAGTTTTATCTGCTTTTCCTCTGCGTTCTGGTATGCTTGCAATAGGAAAATATTTAAGTGACAAAAGGCAGTAAAAGGTAGAGAGAAAGCTCAATGCTTTGATTTGCTCATAAGAGAACAACTTTTCTTTCGAATTAAGCCCGCTAGAAATCCTTTTTTTTTTCTTGATTTTTTTTAATGCAAAACAGATGCATGTAGATATGATCAAATGATAAACAAACGTAAATAAAAAGATAACTATTTTAGGAATTCGTTTTTGCGGCAAAGGTTTGATTGGCCATCATTTTAAAACCGGTGGGATTTAGATTACGACTTAAATCACGATTTAATTTTTTAACCCTGCTCAAAAATGCCGTAGCTTTTTCTTTTCTTTTTTTTTTCTTTATCAAGTTACGAATAAACGAATTATAACTACACTGAAGAACTATGAGGAATAATAAACAAACTAAGATCGACACAAAGTGGGTTCATGAGTAAGTGGGAGCAAAATACGTCATCTGCGTAATTACCACTTGCACTTGGGATTATAATAAGATTCGTTTCATAATCGAGTAATTTATTATTTCGTTTTACCTACAGAAGAGTAAGGGTCCAGTTTGGCTTCTTTCTAGGGTTCTGGCGATGGAGGTCGGTCCACCTGTTCCCGTCGGCTCATCAGACGCCGCTCTTGTAAGTTTAATCCGGAACGTGATTTGCCCAAGCCCATTTCCTATTTTTGTGACTCAGAAACGATTTACTTCTTGTTCCGTTTCTGAGCGCAGGCATTGGCCATGGAAGATGGAACAGTCCAGGTGCACCTCATCGATACGGGAATCGCGGCGGACGACAGAGGCTACGAATTAGCGAAAGAAACCACGTTGAATTTGTAGATCATTATGCGCGTTAAACAATAATATTTTGATGAACGAATGACCGATGCTGTTGTCCGCTTTTCTCTGTTTCTTTTATTAACTCAGCCATGACTCCTTCTCCCCAGCGTCGAGCAGCCCAACGAGACAGCACCTCCGAGATATGACGTCACATATAAAAGAGGAAAATGCAAGGCGCTGATTGGACACGAGGGTTGCGTCAGCGTTTGCCCTGCGCTCGTGTCCAATCAGCGACCGGCGTTGGCCTCTTCAGGTGGCGCTGGAGGGTAAGTTAATTTGGCCCTCCGGCCTTGTCGTTGACCAATGCAAACAGCTTACGTTTTCTCAAATCTCACCCGACTTCTTATGCCTCTGTCAGTGTGGTCACGTCAAGCATACGGAAATGGCTGGGTCATCCTATCAATCGACCTTCAATTCGTACGGCCTAAACATTGCCAATCAAAGAAATAGACGCATAAAAGTGCCCTCAAAATAACTTGTGCTATATGGCCCGCCATCCGCATCACCGTTTTGATCGTTTCCTTGTCATCAAAGCTTTTCTGTTGCATTTGAAGTTCGTGTTGTAACGAAAGAACACCGCGATTGCATGTAAATAAAAAAATTGTGTAAGGCAAAAAAAAAAAAAAAAAAAAAAAAAACAAATATAGCAACGTTGTTAGAATTGTTAACAGCTGTCTATTTTTTTTTTTTTTACTTTTAATATGATCGTATTTAGCAAGGTCAAATGAGGATTGTTGCAACCAATGTTTTAACATATAGAGAAGCACCTTTGATCCTACAGTGTTACATTACTGGATGTCCTTGACCCTCCTGACGACCCCAGAAAAATCGCTGAGGAAAAAAAAAAAGGAGACATTTCAAAGTACAGTAGGTATATTTTAAATCAATCTATTCAACTTCAGTAAACAACAAAAGCACCGGATATTGCATCTGGATCCAAAACCACTGTGATTATGCGGGTTTTACCTGGCACGCATATATGCCAGTGCCGCACAAATAATAAAATTCAAATAACAAACTTCACAATTCACAACATTTCAAAATAATGTTGTTTTTTTGTTTTTTTTAGTAAGCACAAATGAAAGACTTTCTTTTACGTTTGGCCTTAATCCCAAGCATTGGACCAGTGTGCTGTGTGAATGACCATATACATATAAAAGATCAAAAATACGTTTTATTATTTTTTTTTTTATTGCAAAAATTATTTAGGCATTGCCGAACGCTCAGCCTCCTCTCATATGTAGCGCGAGTGGCCCCAACCAGCTGCCACAGTTTCAGAATACCATTATCTTATTCAGAATTTATAAGGGATTTCTTAAAATTTCACTGGGAAAATGGGGCCTGCTTTTGGTAACCGGTTAGTTATGAAACTGTGGCACCTGATTCGGGCCGCTAAACTCAGCAAAGCGTAATTTGATATTGCAATAAAAAGAAAACTAAGATTTACTTTTAGGAGGATACTGCAGTATTACAGTATAGACTCAACCATTGTACTTTTAATCAAGTAGTGAAGTTCTTCGTTTAGACGCTAGTGACGGCATGAAATTTGAAAAAAAAAAAAAAAAAAACGAGATTTTTGTTTTCTATTTTTTGTCTGCACTTTGCTGTCGCATATGCGAATGCGAGATGGTTTCGTTTTTGATAGTTTCATTATAGATATCTATGTTACCAAATTTTACAGCTAAATATTTGATATTTTATGTAGGTTAGTAAGAGAAGCTTCTAATTGCACAATTTATAACGCATAAATTTTAGGAACAGATGTGTTCAAATTTAACTCAATAGCATGAGCGTAAGTCTAGGGTTGGCAACAAAGAACAAGTCATTTCACTTTTCGTTGGTTTCGTGTATTTGTGCTGGCTTTCGTCTCGGTGATGATCTGCGAAGTATTACTCTGGTGAGAAACCTCCAAATTGCTTTCAGTTCAGTATATTTTGGGGTTAAGGGCTCAGTGATCCCGAAGTTAGCACTATAACTCTTTTTCAGGCGAACTGTAATTTCTGCGCGAACGCGCCAGTCTGAGCGTTCTAACCGCAATGGCTTTTCGAACGCCGATTTTCAAGTCCCTTATATTTTGTTGTTTATTTTTTATTTCACGAGATTTTGCGTCCTGTTTTGCTTGACCTACGCTTACTCCTCTTCGGAGCTTATTATCTCTAGAATATTACGCGCTTTAAAAATAAATTGCCTGTCGACAAACAGTCCTACTCTCTGCAGGTCTTCCCCTTCCTTGTGGCTCCTCGGTGAGGCGTTTTATGTTTAATCGTGAGGCTCTGCGCTGCTCATGACAGATTATGTAGCGGTATACCTGATTTTTTTATAAGGTTTGATTGTGTGTTATTTGTATTATTATTTTTGTTTTTAAGTAATGAGCTTAGCAACGCCCAAACATATGAGCTGTACATTTTGAGTAAGAGTAAAGCCCCGCCCCCTTATCATAATCATTTAGACCACAGCCTCTTTTTTGTTTAGACTTTGACCTTCCTCATAAGAGCAAAATTGCATCCTATTTTATGTTTTTACTTTCTGTTTGTACCCTAGTGGTTATGACAAGCATCAGCGGTCATTCACGGTTTCGCCCTCTGCCCTCGATAAAACAGTCTCGAGAGCCAGTTTATTTCTCGCGGACAAAGCTGGTCCTACTCATGTTGTTCGTTTTGTGTCCAAGTTGTAATTAATCAGATATGCCCTGGACTGGACAAGGACTGCCTGCAAAATATGTGGGACAAAAGTAAATTAAAAAGTGAAGGTGTTAAAAAAGCAAGAGTCCTTTCAGTCATTTGAATCAGAATGTCTCAAAAGGGGTACATTGGCCTCAAGTATGTTCACAGCTCTTTGAGCTAAATATGTTATTCAGCTCAAATAAGCGTAATAACCGGGTTAACGGGGAAATTAACAGCACTCAAAAACGAAGGACAAGGTGAATTCTACACTCAAAACGCTGTGTGTAGTACTTCATTTTCTTCTGCATTTTTTTAGCGCTATTTACTTCACCGTTAACATGTACTGCCAACTCGCCCTACTTTCCACAGTTTTGAAGCATACTAAAACTATTATGTTGGGAATAAGAGCTTTCATTACAACTTTTTTGGTGTTTTCTGAATAAATTTTGTGAGAGCACAGGCTCATTGGTTTTGAGGAGTGGCCACTTCAGTTTCCTTTGACATGTTGTATTGACAAGCGGGTTTACTTTTCATCTCCTCAAGGTATGTTCAGAACAACAAGTACCTGTACTTCTGGGTACAAAAGGCACTGTTCCAGTCTCCAGTTTGGAACATACTATTTCTGCTACTTAATTAGAGGGAGGAGGGATTGTGTTTCTAAAACAATGAAAACTAAAAACTTGTAGATTTCATGGGCGGGGACAGGGCAGTTGGAGCTTTCATGCTTCCCACCAATTACATCCACCTATAAAGTATTGATGTTAATTGAAGCAATACTTTAGATTTGTCGTGAGCAGCGGCGTACCAACTTGTTTTTGAGTGAGAAAAGAAACCAGACCCCTCCCCCTCCCCCCCCCTCGGGGCGGCGCCCTTGGTATCCCTTGGGCGCCGCCGGCCAGTATTTGCCCTCCCCAGTGGCGGCTGTTTTTTTTTTTTTGGGGGGGGGGGGGGGGTGCAAAGCACATGCCTTACCCCCCCCCCCCCTTGGTTGGTACACTCATGGTTGTGAGACAGTTAATTATTGCTGCCAATGGCAAGGTATGCCAAATGCAGACGCAGAAATATCATTCAATACGGGTGAGTCTTACAAATTAATAATCTGTTTGTGTACAAACATTTTTTTTTCATTGAAAACAATAAAATTAGTCTTTAAAATTAGAAATAAAAATTGGAATTTAAAAGAGGAATAAAAGCTCGAATAAATTTTGAATTTTTAGCGAAAGTAAACTGAAAAAAAAAACTTCCAATTTCACGAAAAATAAATTTCGGAAAAGCGGAATCCTAATTATAAGTAATGAACGTTGTGTCCAATCACAAAAATTACCATCTTCTATTCCTGGGAATTTGTGTAGTAGTCGATGCGAATTCCACTTTGTCAGATCTAATTATGCTTGATACGTAAAACAAAGAAACAAAACCTTTGTCAGCTGCCACTATCGCTTGTTTCATTATATCCAGCAGAGTACTTCCTCGCCATATAGGTAGTTTCTTTAGCTGAAATGTTGATTCATTTCAACGTTTATCGCTGAGCGAAAGGCGTAACTGGTATATTCCGAAAGATTCCCACGCTTGCGGAATGCAGACCGTTTCTGCTCGTCTCGAAGGTTGTAGCCGGACGCATTCCAAAGGGTGTCTGTGTTTGCATGTTGCAGACTGCCTCCGTGACTGCCTAGTGGCCAGGGGACAGGATGACCATCTCCAGCCAGCTGGTGGTGCCCATGACCTTGTGGGGCAAGGTGGCACCCACCCACTGCATGTGCTCCGTCTTCATCACCAAGGATCAGAAGATGATTGTCACAGGCTGCAACGACGGGCAAATCTGTGTCTGGGACATCGTCGACGGCACAAAGGTCCTCCTTTCGCTGTGGAGAGTCTGTCGGAACGATTGATGTGACACACCAGCAGCCAGAGAAGTTTTAAGGCTGGTTCACACACTTTTAACTGCTTATGACCAAGTGCCTTAAAACCTCTTGGGGTCCCTTACGATGAAACACCGGTGCCATCTATTGGGTAGTTGTGGAAGACTTGGCATTTCCTTACGTTTCCTATTTCTTAATGCGATTAGCTTTAGGATCTTCACGCCACTTTGAGGTATATGCTTCTGGCTGTTTTCTTTCCCCGATTCAGCGAGAAAAATGACGTCACATGACTTGACGTCACGTGCCTCATGACAAATTCAGTTTCCCGACCAGACTCGGCGGGAAAATTGACGTCACATGACCTCAACACCAATCCAGTTTCTCCACCAAGTTTAGCAGGGAAAATGATGTTACAGGATGTCACGTTACTTATACACAAGTTCAGTTGCCCCACTAGATTTGACAGGAAAATTGAAGTCACATGATTTTAACACCAATTCAGTTTCTCCGCTAAATTTAGTGGGAAAAGTGACGTCACGTGACTTGACGTCAATGTGACCTCAACAGAAATTCAGTTTCCCCACTAGATTTAGCTGGGATAATGATGTCACATGGCTTGATGTCATGCAACCTACACATAAATTCAGTTTACCTGCTAGCACAAAATTGACACGTGACGTGATCGTGGCTCTTTCAGTTATGTCTGCAGCTAATCGCCTAATTAGACGGCAACATAGCTGGTTCTGCCCAAATTGTTTTACACGTCATTCTTTTTTTTTTTTTAGGCTGAAAAACTTGTTACAATGTTATAAACAACCATTCCTTATAGATCAGTGGACATTTCATCTCACAAATACTGCAAAACCTTCACTCTAGTGAAAAGCGGTTCCAGGGTCACCTCATGGGTGGCTCCTGCGTGCTAGTTTGTTCTCCTATCGTAAGAGAGGGCACGACCTCGGTCATCAGCAAATGCAAGTGTGTGAACTGGCCCTTAGGTGTCTCTTCTGGGGTCCAGTTTTGGCCACCGCGAAAACGAGGGCGTTCTTGATTGCTTATTGGACGAGGTGCTACGGCTTGCGCATAATGGACCAATGAGAGATTTTTTACCCTTTCGCGAGTCCACATTCGGTCAAAGATTTTTTGAGATTGTCTCACCAACACACAAATAATGAGAACAGTCTTTTAGCCGCCAATGTGCTCGTCCTTGGTACTCTTTCATCCTCTGGTCGATTTCGGCTTGTGTACGGTGGCAGAACAACTTGAGATTTGTAAACGAAGCGCAAGTTGTCAATGGCTTCCGATGTAAAATAGCTGACAGTCACAAATTAGCTTGCGTCCAATCTCACTTTGTTGCTGTGCTCGGTGCGTAGCAGATGATCAACTTTCCTTCTGATCTCTTACATAGCACACGGCGTTTTCTTGTTTCATTTTCCGTCTGTGAATGATGCTTTGTAGCAGATGAATTGCGTTCTTCTCTCACAATAACAGACAAATCGTCTGAATGCTATCTTTGCTCGTTTTGCAAAAGGCAAACTAGATCTAGCTCTCGCAGTGACCAAACTCAGACCCCAGGGTTCCGATTTTGGTCGCCGTGATATCTAATTTGGCTGTCCCTGAACAAGATAAAACATCACTGGCAGATGGTTTGTCATGGTTAATCTACTCATGTGTGCGAAAAAGGGGGTTAGTTTGCTAGAAAACGTTTGCTGACAAAAATAAAACGAAAAACATCTTCAGCTTATCTTTAACAGGACCGAGAACTGGTGACTGTCTCATTCAGACTGGGCTCCGTGGCAAGGTGATATCTGACAAAGTCTGTTATTGGAATCATTACTGTTTCACATTTAAAGGGACCGACAACTTATGCTTCTTTTGCAAATCAGTTCTTCTGCTGGCGTACAGAAGCTGAAATCTACCTGTGGATAAAGGAGCACTCCTGACAAGCAGATTACTGCGAGACTCCTCTTGACGTCTGTCTGTTGTTATGGAGTTTTCACTAAAGTACTGCCTGATCGTTTACTCACAAAAGCATAAAATATTTCTGATTCAACAATGCTCGTCCAGCGAAAAGGTGCAGCGCATGTCCAATAAGCAGCCAAGAAAGAAACTCACTCTCACCAAGGCCCAAAATCGGACCCTTGCCTCAATTGTAGCTTCGGCTTCACGCAAACAAGTTTTGCCGGATCGGTCAGATTTGGGTTTATTAAATTTTTCTCATTCCCAGCGCGTCCAACGGGGGGCAACAATGTCATGTGGAAAATCTTCTCCTTCCCAGCTGCGAGCACGTTGGGCCAACCTTCTTTTCTGGCCTATCGTACTTCCCTTGCGTATCATGCCATTTCCCCTCATCACAATTGTTACGAAACTCATTCCTCGCTACTTCTTGCCGAGCGCGATGCATTTGATGTCGTGAAATGTATTCTGCATAAGATTTCTATATAGTCAGTCAAACAAGTATTTTGGTAGGCTACGTAAAGACAAGTACTCTGCTTCTTAACAAGTGACACGTGCGTGGTCGCTGGGCACACACGGTAACCAGTTTTTAGAATGGTGAAGTTGCCGTACGTTCTCGGTGTTCAGAGTTGTGGTGCTTATTAGCTACAGGGCTCTCTTTGGTGACTTGCTGTCCAGCAAAATAGTATGGAGAAGGAATTACCGGTTTGAAATTGATGCACTTAATGGAATGCATTTTTGCATCATATCACTAGTGACACTCGTTAAGAATTTGAATAGCTATAAGTAAAAAAATCGACAATTTTTTTTTTCAACCTTTTTGGATTGATTAGAACGGAGGGTGCCATAGCAGGGGAAATTTATTTTTTCATCAAGCATGTCTAGTGCAGTTTCTTATCTTTCTTCATTACTGTACTTCCCTTAGGTTTTGCAGCAGAGAACAGCTTGCAGGAATTGTAATGAGCCAGAAACTAAATTGATACAGATCCAGCGCTTTTAGTAAATTTGATAGGTTGACTTTTTATGAAACCTTTACTTTCACAGTTACAAAATGTGTTCACCATTTGAGATTTTTTTTTGTAGTTATTTATAGCCATACACAAAACATACTTTAATCGACTTCAATGTATGTGCTTCTCAGAAAGCCATTAGCACAAAGTCGTTTCTTTCTTGCATGCTTTGGACACACGAGAGCATGTGGTTAGCAGTGCGCTGACACGTTAGCAATGTGCTATCCTGCTAGCAGCGCACTAATACACACCCCCTCTGCTGCATAGGAACAGGCACTGCCCAGAGGGGTAGGATCTGCTTTTAGTAGAATCTAGTAGGCATGGAGGCATTTCACAGTCCAATTGTATGCGTGGAAGCATTTCAGAGGAAATGACACAAAGCCCTCAAGGAAGAGGTGCATAAGTAAAACAGAAGGGATGTCCTTTATACATTCACAGTTCCTTCATCACGTGTCACATTGCACATCATTCCTATAGCAAGTGCTGCCCGTTTAATAAATTGGGCTGCCTCGTCGGTTCCGTGGTAAAGCACCGGCATGCGAATTTTGGGGTGACAGGTTCAAAACTCGATTGAGGTGCCCGCAGTCTGATGGAGGCTAGTTGCAGGGAAGGCGCCGTAAAATCGAGATTTCGGTTGCACATTAAAAGATTCCCCACGTGGTCGAAGTAAATCCTCGGTCCTCCGTCGGAGCGTGCCAGGTGCCCTTCGTTCTCGTTTATAAAAAACCGTCAAGTTTGGTTGCGCCTTCATTGCAAAATATCTAAACCAGGCAATCTTTTGGGCAGTGCTGGACACAAGACAGAGTGGGATGTCGATTTTGTTAGAGGCATTGATCAGAATGTTCTTCGAGGGAGTCATCACTTTGCTGGTTTGAATGTTGCAGGTGGTGCCCCGCAGCATGCTGTTTGGGCACACAGGTCCCGTGCTGTGCCTTGCCAGTGCGTCGCCCACCGGAGATGGCTCCCTGCTGGTCAGCTCTTCAGAAGCTGGGTACAGAAAAATACCTTTCTACCTTACAGTTCCCTCTATTAATTTTGCTTAAATAGATTGCCTTGCCACCCTCTTTTCAAGAAATATGGTCCACAGAGCTTTGATGCAGCTAAATGATGTTTGAATTGCTGATAGATATTGTTTTACCAGTGTTGCAGACTTTCTAATAAAAAGCTTAATCCATAGGCTGCTGAATGTACTAAATGATGTTATAACCACGTTTTATATTTGCAATATCTTAATAACTAGCTTTTTTGCAAAGAGTGTAATGGCATGCGTGGTGGCAAAAGGAATATCGATAACTGACTGTATACACCAACTCATGTTTACAAACAAACCGGAGCACCCCTAGCGGACGTCACCAGCACCGCACATGCGCAATGGAGTGTGGGCAAGAAGCTAGCTGTCGCCCATAAACAAATTATAGAAATGCGATGTTGTCGGCGTCGGTGTGAGTTCCCCTGCCCTTTTTCGCGTTAGAATTGTTGATTCTTTGTCTTCCTGGCGATTTCTGACTGCTTGAGCGGCCTCAACGAAATTACCGAGGCTCGTTACACCGCAGAATTTTTCGTGAATAATGTGACCTGAGGCGATTCATTCCCCGTGGACGCCGCAGAATGGACGTTAAAGCCTGATTTGCATGATGAGATTTCGCTCGCAATTTTAAGTCGCTACGTCGCTCGGGCTGCAAAAGCGTGAACCGTAGCTCAGATGGTCGACGTCAATACTCAAAATCGCAAGCAGAATCGGACCAAGTGAATTGGGCATAACAAGTCGGTGATGGCCACTGGTAACAATGATCAGCATCTTCTTGTATCTACTGTTTACATCGAGCATGCCTACCAACCTTCAAATTAAAGTCTTTTAAGGCCTGCACTTACTTTTTATCGCAAGTGCCGGGCGAACATTTGGTCTACGGGCCAGTGTCGTCTAAAAGAGCAGATGACAAGCAGAAACGTTTGAAAAAGCAGACGACAGTTCGGACGATCAGGCTGCCGTTTGAACTTGAAGGTGCACTGAACGTGGTCCGCAGGTGGTCCGTACAACTTGACAGTTTTCCGGCGTTCATGTTGGAACAAAACAAACAAATCTGATGCCCACAAGTATCCGTGAATTCAACCTAAAGTGCTTCCTACCCAAGCAATCGTGGTCTGACGGCGTCTGCTTTTCCCTTCCTCTGGCACATTTCCACGTTCTCGGACGAACCGAGCGCATGAAAACTGACCTTCAAACTTTTCTTGACTGTTTTGGTACAGCCCCAGTCACTGCATTTTGACGAGAAGGCAGGTTTTTGTCTGGTTCCTTTCAAAACAACGCAGGAATACACGTCTCACATGGGGACATCCGCCCACAGCCCCAGACCGAAAGTGTGTTTGATGCGCCACCACTGCGCCGCGACATAACAGAGATGAGTTTGTGTATAGAACCGGCCGTAGCAGACGTCGGTCTTACGAGAATTGGCCTTTTACACCAACTCTAGCCTCACCAAGCTTCGGGTTACGCTTTTGTGACACCCTTCCCAAAGTATATTGAATGTTTAATTAGTTTGGCGCAGATGGCCTCGTAGCTCTTGCGCCATTAACCCCAAAATCATCTTTGTAGTAGACGACGGTGATGATGGAAGGTAATGCAGGCGAGCGGGCGAAGGCTGGCAAGCAACTGCACTACCCTCTTTTCCTCTTGCTCTCTGTCACATGGCAATAGTGGGTGCTGCGGAGGCAACGGAGAGTGCATGGGATGTTCTTGTTGTTCATTGGGTGCTTTACACATGGCCTGTTGATATATTTGCAAAAGACATTTTGGTAGGTCAGGCGGTTGTCTCTTCTGACCCTGATACCAGCTGGGATCAGCAAATGTTTTATGAACGCAAATGCATTTGTTTGTTTAGACTACTGCTAGCCGTAAAATTGGGAACATGATGGCTGAGTGTGCCATTTTATGTGCATGGTGCGAAAGCCATATACGCTATGGCCAGGCTGAACCGGTGACACCATGGCCATGTGCGGTAGTGGTGTCACACAGCCATGGTGTCATCGTTAATTTAAGCAAGTTGTCAAAACCTGCTCTTTTCTTGGTTACGACCCACTTGTTGTGCTTTACATTTGTGATGCCTGATTAGTCCAGTGGTACGTGGTACTTTTTACTTTTGCTTTAAGTAATTCCAAACCTTCCACCTTGCTCACTGCTGGATGTTGCTTACTAGGCCCATTGTAACGGTGAATGTATTTGAGCTGTTGTGATTATGTGACCAGAATACATTCGGTAGACACAAAATGATGCACTTGTCATGCATGTGTTATTTATCGAGGAGTGTAAATACTAAAAACAGATCAATTTGCAAATAATGCTTGCTATTTGCAGTGCTCGGTAAAGTATGTCGAAAAGGTACTTGAAGTACAAAGTAAATAAAAGGTTGTGTACGTCAAGTAAAGTAGTATATAAGTACACCAAGTGCAATGTACTTGAAGTGAGGTAAAATAAGTTCAATGTACTTTCAAAGCAAATTACATGTACTTTTTAACACAATTTTTTATGACGCCCTTTCATTCCCTATACAGTCTTTTTTTAAACGTATGCATTGCCTTGGGGGTAATTCGGGGTGCATTAGTTGTTTCCGGAAATGGCGGCGAATATTGGATAATGCCAAGTGGTCACAGAGTAGTTGTTTTATTCTCACCTATAAACTACCTCAAACAATCAACTTATAACGCACTTATTTGTATGTCTTATAGTCACCATTACTACACTCAGAGAAATGACCGAATGACATCTCGAAAGGTGATAGCATGTTTTCACATGACAACACACTATTTTAGGGGTGAATATCCTTAGGGTTTAGCCCTGTCCGGCGTCCGGGCTCACATCGGCTGCCATCTCACCTGTCTTCTTAAAAAAAAAAAATGTTTGCGCAGTCGACAGGATTTGAACCTGTGCGGGGAGACCCCAATGAATTTTTAGTCCATTGCCTTAACCACTCGACCACGAATGTGGGACGAGTAGGGGGCTCTGAGATGTGGTAGTAACTCAAGAGCTGGGGTTTCTGTCATGGATGAAACGTTGCATGTAGCCGCTCAACGTCTATACAGGAGAGGGTGCTGAGGTCAAATGCGTATATAATTGCGTTAAACTTTGCATGCATTGGCTCAACGTTTATAGACGAGAGGGTGCTGCAGTCAGATGCTCAAATGCGTATATAACCATGTTCCATACCACACATTCTCTTTCTGACATAGACCATTGACTTAAGCGGTGGAAATGCATTCCTACGGCTTCTAGCGGATTTAAGCTGATCCGCCAGAGAACCACTGCCTCTGCATTTCACCGACCATAAAGCAGTACTAATAATGAAGTCGAGATGCAACCCGGAACTCAGCACTACCTATGAGCAATAAAAAAAAAAATCAGCACCGTCGGCACTACCTATGAACAATAAAATCAGTATCATCAGCATCACCAGAGCTTCTCCCCAATCAACATCATTCACCATGTGGAGATGCGGTCATTTTTTTGTTAGAGGCTGACGAAGCATCATTTTATGATACAAATTTAAAAAGGCAGAATTTGTGGAACATACTTTGAAGTCGGAAGATTAACTTTGCTTGGAAAGTACCAGAAAAATGCTTTAAGTAAGGTACAAGTACGTATGGACAGCAGCAAAAGTTTGCGGGGCATGGGAGCGCCAGCCGAAATGACTGGCTGCACATTCTGTTGCTGCGTTGCCGCTTCCAAGGCTCGCGCTTTGCTCAAAAGCTTGCTATCATGTTTGCATACATTTTTTTTTTTCGCCTGCTTCCGTTGCTTTTGTATGACGCACACGAGATAACAAGGACTGGCACAAGGTGCCGCAAAATGTTATCTGAAGCATTCGAGCACCGTCACCCATCACGGTGGCTGAGGCAGACGCACTGCATGACGACTCACAGGGCGACACCTTGCGCCGGTTCCGGCTATTCCTTGTGCGTCGGACAGAAGCGAGTGAAGACATGACTGCAAACACAACAAGAAGTGCATTCTCAAAGCTCGAGTCTTGAGAGCGGCGCACGCCGTCAGAAGGCGCAGCCAGTCATTTTGGCTGGCGCTCTTGTACCTTGCAAGCTTTTGCTACCAACTGTACATACTCGGAGAGTGTACTTCAACTAAAGTACTACAAGTTTTTTTTTTAACCTACTTGAAGTTGTACTTAAAGTATTTCTCAACACTGGCTATTTGATTCAATTAGCAGCACCCCTTTAACTGTATGAGGCATTCGAGTTTTTCAAATATTCGAAGATTGCAAATAACGTCTTCGGAATTCCTCGATTTTTTTGCGTCAAACTTGATCGCATCATACTTGTGCTTTTGTGTCAGGCGTCACCGTTTTGCACCAGTGTATGTGCGTCAAGATTCGCTGCTTTGCACTGGCTTGCTCGGAGAAGCGGCTGACGTGGCAGGGTGTCTTGTTTGGTTCAATGAGATCAAAAATTTTGTTTATTTTATTGTAATTCAATCTTTTTTGGTTACAATATTGACCCCTAATTTTAAGAAATGTTGGAAAAAGAATTTCATTGTATATTCAAACAAAGAGTGCAGTCATTTCTTTGCTTGCCATGTTACATTATGTTTTACCCAACTCATCTCGTCGGGAACAGTTTTTTTTTTTTTAATTCAACACAAGACGTGGAAATGTTTTTAAGCTGTTCCTTTTCATAGGTATGTTTGCCAAAAAAACAATTCTAGCTGTGATTTGTTGGTTTCTGTGTCAGTTCACATAATATAAGAGGTGTGCGAATATTCAACATTTCTAATACAAATAGAATATTTTTCTTATTTCATTCGTATTTGATTCAAAAATTGCATTCGGAAATTCCAGAATATTCATTAATGGCCAAATATTCAGGCAATGTATGAATATTTGGGCAAATAACGAATAATCTGCATGCAGGACATGCCCTGAACATTCAGAGCTTCCTTAAAATCCGCGTTTAGTTGCCTAAAATTGCGGATATTGTAGCCATTTTTCTATAAACCCTTGCCGTTTACATTATGCATAGAACTACCGTGTTTGCACGATCTAACGTGCCTCCCAATCTAACGCGTAGGCAGATTTAGCTCTCAGGTATTCAGAAAGTAAATTGCTGCCAATATTCTACTGCACAGGTAAAATAATCAAGATTGAACATATACCTCATAGAACAGATTTCATGAAATGCACACCAATAAATACCGTGCACTAATCGTCGCCGTTGTCGAAGCTTGATGATGGTTTTTTGCTGTCCACAGAGGCAATACTTGCTTTCGTCTAAAGCGTTTGAGGTGCTGCGCTTTTTGCGCTTGTACGAGTGTGCGACCATCGCCTCTGGGAGGGTCGTTCTCCAACACAACACTTCGCGAGCTCGTCGGGTTGCTGGGTTTGCAAGGCCACATAGTGCTGCTATTTTGTTATCGTTCCCCGCCAGCGTGATGATGCTTCATTTAAATAAAGTCTCCTAGTGGAATTTTTGCTTTGTTGTTCCATCTTAACGGGAGACACGAATCCGTAAACGTGAGAGAATTTACGTGATACGGTAAACAGAATGGCGAATGGATGGATGGATGTTAATGGCTATAGTATACCCTTTGTAACGAGTGGTTGCTTGCGCCACCTAGCCTAAGTCTAAAAAGGCAAACATAGGATTCCTCCCGCCTGCCGATTTTCCCCCCCTAACTAACACCAGGCAGTGTGGGATATCACCAAGATGACCTTTGGGGGATCGGGCAAAAAAAACTACCCCCGGCGAGGGAGTCACCAATTTTTCTCTGGTCGAACGTTGTCGGATTCCCCAATTATGTGACAATATTTTGAGGAAAAAAGTGGTTATTATGTTACTAAATGCGGCATTCGAAAATTTCAATATTCGCAGACCCCTACATACTGTGTAACGAATTCATATGCGAAATTATTTTGTTTGATTTGCAGCCAAGTATTAATATTCATACTCGGTCTTCAGTCGCTTGTTTGATATTCACACACCTTTATTAATCTTGTGATTCTTGCACGTCAGATGTGAAGGCATGTCACACACAAAGCATGTGATCCTTGTATGTCACACATCCAAGCATGTCACGTATGACACGCTTTCTCCCATGGATGTGTACAGGAACGTGCATGCCAACATCTTTGATCTAGCCACCTTACTCTGCAATGTGTTGGTTTGCCGTTCTCGCTGAGCCAGCTTGCTGATCTGAAGCACCAAACCTGATCTGGTCCCTTTGTTGGGTGTTGTTCACTTTAGGGAGATGTCCCTGTGGGATCTAACAGACGGACGCTGCCTAGAGAGTACCAAGCTGCCGTACGTGCACACCTATATGCAGGTAAGCGCCACTCACACGGACACTGAACAATGTGACCATTTTGCACACCAAGCGAAACATCATTGCAATTGTTTCTACGGAGTAAGTAATCGAAAATATGCGGACGAATGAACTGTACCGATCAAATGGAATTATTGTTACGAGGCCGCTGAAAGACGAAGACCTTGGCAGTACCGGAATTCAAGCTCCGTATCCCCCAGTCTTCGGTCGGAGATGCTAACCACTGCACCACATAGCGGTGGTTAGCGGGTCATTCATCCGCATATTTCCGATTATTTCCTCTCTAAAGGCATTGTAAAATTATGAAAATACCCCGCAATATTTTCCACGGAGTAGCTGGACATTGTTGTAATATACTAACCAAGCACCCACCAAAAGTTTGGAGGTATGTAATCTCTAAAAACTAGCAGTAGGCTTCTGTTGTTAGGTCCTGAAGAAAAAAAATGCAGAAGGGACGCATGATAGAGTGAGCTTCACGCTTTGCATTGGGGTGCTTGGTTAAAGTGGCCGTCAAGGGGAGTGTCTCGGTCAGCTGGGTAGGCTCACGAGTCGGGGTGGATGCTCGATAGGTAATTTGCTCACTTTTTAGATATTAAAAAAAAAAAAAAAAAAAGTAATTGGGTGCTTGTATTGACATAAGTGCATGTCTAACATGTATTGACATAAGTGCATGTCGCCCCGTAGATGAGACCTCTAAGGTCTCATCAACGGGGCGAAACGACGAACTACGGTCGCCGACAGGACGAGAACTGCAGGGAGGTCTTTCGATCATCCTGCCTCGGGCTTTTTTCCTTTGATCACGCTTCAGCATCCCGCGAGCTCTAAGCGCATCGAGCGCATGCTGGAGGCCTGTCATTCGAAAAAGTCGCCCTCCCGTCCTTACCCTGTCTCGGACTAACGAAAGTTGGCCCATGGTCTCTTCTGATGACCCGCACAAACGTGCCGAGAACGACAGGAAATCATTCTACCTGTTCCCCGCAGTCGCACATGCTGTGCGGAGGGGACGTCTCTCATCTGTTCTGCAACGGCTACTATGCGGATGTGGTGGTCTTGGACACCATGACCCTGACGGTGGCCTTTTCGCTGGTGTCGAGAGCCACCTCAGATTGGATCAGCGCCATGCACGTCATCCGGACCCCCAAGCGAAGCGGTATGCACCACACTGCACCCCTCTTTAGTCGCCGACGGGTTCAAGGTGCGACGAGAGCTCTGCCTCCGGCGAGTGCTCATTGCCATGCGGCGTGCTCCGCCAGCACATGTTCCGCCCGAGCACCGAGCTCCCCCTTGATCCGATGGAGGCTTATTGCGGCGAAAGTGCCGCGTAACCGAGTTTTTGGTTGCATGTCAGCGCGGAGGTGGGAAGCTTCTGGTGTAGACGTGATACTACCAGAGGTGAAGCCAGTAGTGTGGAGGGACACGCCCCCAATGGTGGCTAAAACCAAGAGACTCCATTGGACGAAAGGAAGAGCTGACCTGGAGCCAACAGCTGTTTTTCTCTCCCTCGGGGGTGACCAAAGCAGTGCGCCCTCTGCTTTGGCCCCGTTGAGCATGTTTCTTACCGAACATTAGTGCACTGCGGAGAAGCAACACCTGCAAAAGCAAGCTTTGCGGGTGTCGCTTCTCCGCAGTGCACCGGTGCTCGGCAAGAAGCGCGCTCAAAGGGGTCGCGAAAACAAAAAGTATGAATTACACGAAAATGCTATTTAAATTAAGCGGCTTATGAATAGATTGAAAACATAGCGGGACAATCAAATTTTTAAAATTTGTTTGGATTAACCAGAAGTATGAAATATTAAAGTTTGAAATATCGCGAGCTTACTGTACAAGTGAATGAATACTGCCGCACAGAATTATTGTTTTGCCTGTTTTCGTTTGTGTTGGGAGGGTCAATATTAGCCTAAGAATCGCTGTGGTGTACTTCGGCAGAGTGTCCTTTTTCGAGGCCTGGAATGTCATTGAGGGACCCCTGTTTTCTCTTCACTCCTTGAACTAGTATTTCACGATGGACAAAAAAAAATGGCATTGCAGTTGTCTACACGAACGTACAAGTCTTGCATTTCCTGTTCTTCTAAGCATATGCAGAATGCACAAAGGCTTCAGGCTGGAATTTATGGTTTTTCATACTTCCCTTCTAGCTTTTTTTGCAATGAAGAACGACTGGTGCAACTTGGAAGACTCAAAATTTTGTTTGACCCTGCCAAAAAATATTAGACGCACTTATAAAACAACATGAGTAGGTGACGAAAACGAAATAGAATCTGATCGTGTACATTAGGCTCCTCTTTTTTTTTCTCGCAATGATGCGGAGCATTCTTTCTTTGCTTAACCCTGTGCAGAGGACATCATTGTTGCTCTGTCATCCTCTGGCTTAACCAAGGTGTGGATGCTGTCTCCTGAAGATCTCAAGGTATGTGCAACCCCTGCCCTCCGCCCAGGCTTGGGTGCACCTACTCGGTGTGCATAGCACCCAGTTAGTTTCTATTGTGTTCACGCTGGTGAGATCTTAGAAATCAAGTTTACTTTCCATATCAGGTGTGCTATATGGGAGCTTCCACATCTATTAAGTAAAGTTGTGCAAATGCCACTCACTGTTTTGGCTCCCGTTTGAATTAAAATAGATTTGCATCTCGATGCAAATTGCACGAAAATAGCTTTTTTAATTTTACTAGTGTAAGCAAATACAACTTAATACAAGGTTTCAGCCAAATGTGGATGAAATCGCACATTCCTAGATTACGAAACAATAATAATAAACCTCTTGCTATATTACCCAAGCACCAAGGATTGTGCACAAGTGCAGTTACACCCACTGTGTGTGCAGGCGTCGGCAGCAGTGACTGTTGTAAAACAAAATCCTAAAGCAAAAGGCACTTGCAAGTGCATTCGTCAACACCATACTTTAAATCTCTTGTATGGAGAAGGCGAGCACCGTCCTGAGCATATACCTATATTCCCAGCATTCTCCTTGATGCTTGGGTAATTTGGCTAAAGGTCTAATCAATTTTGACACATTCTCTGCATTTACACAGTTGAATGATTGCACACCACCGTAAGATTGTGTCATGGATGGGGGAAGATGGGTGCTCCTCATGTGAACAGAGCTTGGGATATAGGACACACCACCATCAACAGCGAGCTAAAATCATGGGCTTCCTTCGCATAATGAGCACAGTTCTCCTTCCTCTACGGATACACAATCGTGCACTCGTGTAGCCACACAATTGTGTAACTGCAGAAAGCGTTATTTGAACTCTGTTTTATTTATTTGTGCTTGTCGTGTCCTTTTTTTCAACACTGTCCTCGATTTCCACTGTTTTTTGTTTTTTTTACTTTGCCCGCCCCTTACCTGCAGTCGGGAGAAGCTCTTTACGAGTGCGAGTCGAAGCCGATCCGGTGCCTGAACGCGTTGCGGCTGACCTGTTGTGCCTACAACCAGCGGACCATCCTCGTGGTCACTGCCAAGTACTGGCACGTGAGTGCTCCTTGGACCCCTAGGCTGCTTCCTCGCCCGTTCCGATGGCATTTTCATGTCCTGCCCTAGCACTGCCGATTTCGTTGTGTAGTTGGATAGGTGTTACAAAGCCCCACATCTTGGCTACGTATACAGTGACATAATTACTCTCATACTTTGCACAGTGGTTATTATCCTCGCAAACAACTTTCTGTGTGTGGTCAAAGATGCACGGGCCCTCTTGAAGCGCTAAAACGCTGTGCCAGCGTGCTCCTCGTTTCTTTTGAAATGCCACCGAAAGTTGTTCGCAAGTACAGGTTCGTGCGAACGGTAGATTTTGAGTCCAAAGCAAATTCAAAGCGAATATTTGCTTCGGCCGAATGTTTTCTAACCAAACATTGAAGAGTCTCTTCGTGCCATTCACAACCGTTGCACTACGCTTAAACGAAAACCCGGCCGAACTTGCGAAAGTTGTTTTCCAGCATTGACATGCTTACTCGTAAGCTCGGAAGACAAAGTTCATTTTGTGCATGGAGGTAGAAGCTTCTGGATGTGACATGAGGCCACCAGAGGTGGAGCCAGAAGTGTGGAGGGACACGCCCCCAACGATGACCAAAACCAAGACACGCTCCCTGAAAGTGACCAAAACAGTTGTTGGCTCCGAGCCAGCCCTCCCTTGCATCCAATAGCGTCTCTTGGTTTTGGTCTTCGTTAGGGGCGTTCCCCCTCCACAATTCGGACTTCACATCTGAGGGCCTCATGTTTTCACCAGAAGCTTCTTACCTCCATGAATTTACGACGCGTCCTATCCAGTTACTTAAAAAAAACTTGTTCCTCCGGGTCTCGTGCTTCCCCTTTTGGAGGAGTGGAGAGATGGACGTGTTGGACGTGTGCCCAGATCTACGATGCCAACGACTTCGTGCTGCTGTGCACGATGGATAGCCGGCCCGGGGAGCGCTGGATGGGCGGAGACTTCATCTCGGCCGACCGGGTGTGCGTGTGGAGCGACCATGGCAGGGGCTACCTCTACCAGCTGCCTGCACAGTGAGTGCACCCTTCCCACACTGCCGGCATCAGGAAGAGAAATGTGGTTCCTCCCAGTTTCACGAGGTCGTCGTGACTCATGGTTCGGGCCATTTTGATTGGCCTTTCCGGAAAATTCCTGGAGGCCTTGCAGCAAGGGGAATTGTGGGGCCGTTCCGGCGTATGATTCGGGCCGACTTGAATGCTCAGTGCTTCTAACGAATTTGTCGTTACAGGCTCGATATTTCACAAATTTTAGAAAGCATGGGTTCAGAGAATATTCCTTGGGCAGAGATTTTTCGATTCAAAGTGACATATACTATATATTCGTTATTTCTCGAGCGATATGTTTGCGAGATTGATTTTTCCTAATATTTTTCGGGTTGGGGAAATTTGCAAAAATTGGGTTACTCGCGAAAATTTAGTTGTTTACGGTATACCCTGGAAGCAGCATGATTCATTCTCTTTTATTGTTAGGAGCTCAGGATGCACAAAAAATAAAACAAATGCAAAAAGAGGTCATCGCATACTCTGTTTTGCTTTCCTTCAGCCTTCATTGCTTTCTGAAATCACAGGATGTTAAACCGACGTCAGCTTCGTCTTCAATTCTTGGATAATCTCACGTGCTGTACGTCGCAATGCATCGAGCAGACAGGGTGGCGTCATGTATTTCCAGAAAGATTTACTATTGCGATAGCAGTTCTGAGCAAACCTTACGTGCTTTTATGTCTGTCTTTTAGTTTGAAAACTGAAGTAGGCACGCGTCGGTTACATGCCTACTTCAGTTATGTGTAAAGGGGTAATGCGCCCAAAGAATATACTAACATGATATATTAGCCTCTGAACAACAAACGCAGTTACCGAGGGTCTTATTATGTTTACATACATAATATGTTTATAATGATATATTAAGAGAAAAACATTTGAACTTCATAACTGCTACAACAGAAGTTGTCGGTTGGTTGTGGCAAATCAACAGTTAAATCAGAGAAATATGGGAATATTTGCAACGTAATGAAAGACTTCATAGACGTTGACAAGAAGTATTCCTAGAATTTCCATAGCCGTTCCTAAGTGTTTAATAGAGAAATGTTTTACACAGTAGAAGATTGTGCGAAATACTATCACATTTCAGTGACAATCTGTGCAGCAATTTCAGTTTTTCATTTCTCTCGTATTGTTGACTGTTGCAGCTCCAGAACGTAAGCCTCCAGCCGAAGCATTTCCTTTTATACACCTTCACTTAATAAAACTGTAAGACCTAAATCTAAGAAAAAATCATTCTTTTCTTTTTTCTTTTTTTTTGTGATGTAGCAAAAACTAAAGCTCACTTGTTTCTGCTAACTGTGACATGCTCTGCACCCTACCTTTTTCACTTTATTGTAAACTATGAGGGTGCCGAAATCACGATTGGGAGTCAAATGTTTTTTTTAAGGCTCTACTCGAGGATCCTCGCAACGAGAAAATGTTAAAATCAAACCCTATTTATTTTTTTCCTGGGCAGCAAACTGAAGGGAAAAGCAATTAGGTTGGTATACGTGTTGCAGAGCCGCTTTTGCCTGTGCATACCTGCCAAGAGCATGCCCTGCACAGCGTTCCTGCTTCAGATTCTTCTGCCGTTTGGTGTCGGCACCCTCTGTCTGCCGGGCTGTGCTCGTTTCTTCCTACCGTGCGGAGGTTTGCTTGCATTGACCTCTCCGTACTAGCCATCCCAAAGAAGTCTCTGTATGCCTGTGGAGCATGTTTGCTTTTCCTTTTAGTGGGCACAATGCTTGCGACCTTGAGCGCATAGACGAGCCTTTCGGAAGGTCTCGAATTTGGCGGCTAAGTTGGGATCGGCGGGGCTGTCTCTCTCGGCCTGGAACGCACGCATGTCTTAACTCAAGGTTTTCTGTGACATTTTGTGTTTTGTGTGTTCGACCGGATCATTCTTTGGGCTCCCGTGCATTTGGGGATGCCTTTCTCGTTTGACCGTCCGTATCATTATTGCGGTTAGATAATATGCGAGCAGTCAAAGGTGCATTTTTACGTTTGCGGCTCGCTTGAGTCTTTTACAAAACTATCGTGCAGCATGTTGCGGATTAATTTGTGTAATTTTTGGGGCTTCTCGGACGGCGACAGGTCTAGTAGAGCACTCGCTGAGAAAGTTGTTTGTGTGCCTTCTGTCACCCCAGCGCCATTGCAGAAAGCAAGGAGTACCGAAGTGGAGCCGAAAACAAGGATAACCCATTTCTCTTTTGTGTGCTTGCCGCCAAGAATACCGAGGCAAGTTTTTTTTTCTTCTTTCGAGCAGTCTATGTTTTGTTAAACCTTGCAATGGATAACGACGGATGCTACAAGCCATTCCAGCCAATCCAGCACCACGAACTGATCACGTGACTAAGATCTGGCGCATCGCTGCGTCCCTCTCAAAGGACACGTGACACTTGCACGCCATTAAACTGGCTTTTATGGCTCATAGCATCCTTTGCGGTTCATCATAAGGTAGAACGGAGTACAGTATTCCCAGTTTGAGTGGTGTTTGAGTTTAGTGAAGTAGCTGAAGCAATAGACCTTTTACCAAACTACCCGAGCAGTAAGAAGGATGCTGGGAATGTAGGTACACACGCTGCACGCAATCTCCTTATTTATATGAAGTATTATAAGTTACCTAAAAAAAGCATTGAAAGCACATGCAAAGTGGCATTGGTTTAAAGTTTTTGCTTTAGAACAGTTGTACTGCTGCGTGTAACTACGCTCGCGCATGCTTGGGTAATTTAGCAAAAGGTCTATTCGTGGGCTTTGCGGAAGCCATTTTAATCTTTTGGCAGACCGCTGTACCGGCAGAAATGGTAAGGTGTTGCGATAAGTCTGCAACGAATCTTTGAATGGGTAATTCATGCCATCTGATGACGTTCTGTATGGCAACTGGAGCATGTATCTGTGAATCAGCCTAGCTTTTTGGTGGTGATGAAAGTGTTGGCCTCTCCAGCAGGGTACCACCTTTAGAAGCTCGTTGAAGTACTACCGTAATATCCTGACATGCCCCATTCCCAATTGGCATGATTTACTATTTTTTCTGAAATACCGAAAGATAGCCCACTTATAGTAATTGTTAGGCCCTGGCAAATGGTGACCTCGGCAAAAACGGTGTTACTTAACCACGGCGGGAGATAAGCCAACATTGCTGACCGGGAAGAACAGTCATCTTTAGTTCTTCACCCCTCCCTGCAATCACGAGTTTCGAGGGTCACAAAATATAAAACTAGAATTTTTTCAGTGCTTTCTTTATGGCACATTGTAAGTAAGCTTACCCCTTATTTTTATCAGATTTGCTATTGATTTTAGGTGGGCTATCGCTTAGGGTATTATGATAGGCTTCCGACTCAAAAAGACATTGGGATGGTTTCTAGGCTTTGGCTAATTAATAGGATGCAAGTGCAAATATGAAACATTAGCTTTCATCAAATTCAACTGGAATAGTGCACCCGAATGCTGGATATTCTTCTCAAATTTGAATTTGATGGCCACCGAATGTTCAGAATTAACTTTTTGCGTTGATAAAACAAGGAATCAACATCGTTTTTTGTGTATACCTTTTTCATTGGACAAAAGACACGCCCCCAAACCACTGCACAGACGCTTGGTGTCTAAACGTAATCCGCTGTTATTGACTTCACTCGAGCGCATCGGTTGTGTCAAGCGTCAACTTCGTTTGTTTGCTCTCCGCTCATTTTTTATATTGTGGCAGAAACAAAATATCACTCAGCATTAGTGTGAATTGATGGTCATGTGTGCATGATGCATTGGGTGCCGTAGCAAAAGCTAGTAACACAGGATTATTTCTTAGCAATGGATAATCGGTCATTTAGGCTCGCTAGAATGGAACAGGGGACTTGCTACATTAGAAGCTCAAAAGTACCAAAATGAAAAGAAAAAAGCCACTTGCAGTATTTGATGCATCGCTGGAAAGTCATAAAGACGTCCATATGACATAGAAGAGAAGGATTACCTGACTTCTGTCACCCCCGCTAATGGCCAAAAGCCAGATATTTTGAAGTAAGAATGTGCACCATTGAAAGCCAAAAATGAGTGGAGACACACTTGGCTGAAGTCAATGACAGCAAATGACGTTTCGACACCGTGCACCCGTGCAGGGGTTTGGGGGGTGTGTTTTTGTCCGACGAAAAAGGTGAGCAGTTGACACAAGCACTGTAGTTATCCAGACCAGAGAGTAGCTAAAAGGAAGAGATGCAGATTTTATACATTCATTTTGTTTAGGCCGAGTGTGTCAGCGCACTGCAGCTTACAGTTATGCAGCAAAAGCATGCACTGCAGAACCCACAAGATCCTTTCCTGCCCGTTTCAGCTATTTTAAAATATCTTTGTATTGGCGTGAGGTCCAGCAACCGTTACGTGATGCATGTGCCCCCCAACTACCAAACCCCGTTGTCACACCACTTTTGCAAATACTCACCTTAAGATTACCAGTAAACACAAAAAAATGACACCGGTAAAATTATCTTGTAGAATATCACCTTTTTCTTGTAATAACTGTGTCAATATGTATTAAAAAAAAAACCTAAAAACTTCCTTCACACACAAAAATAATATATAGACTTTTAGGTCTGGCAGCAATGTATTTTTGCCAAATCTTTAGAGAAGTGGCGAAAATTCGGCATTGCCTAATCCCAAGATTCAACGCCGAATTTTCAATTCGGCAAAAGTTCGGCCCATCTCTAGTGAGAACAACAGGGAGGAGCTAGAGTCGTCCTGCTCCCGGCACGAGCTTCCTACATTCAACAACGCTTCGACATATCGCGTCCTTCGAGGACTTGAGTACAACAGGGCGAGAACGAGACGCTCTGTCGTTGTCCTTTCGTTCTCGTCCTGTCGGCTACTCCAGCCCCTGGTCGGGCGGGCTGGCGGGTGCTGAGGGGGGGACCGCCCGTCTGCACGCAGCGGCTGCTGTGCCCTCCAGCCATGGGCTACTTCCTGGGCCCCCGGAGTGGCCTCCACAGGGTGCTCCTGCGGGGGGACTCGAGCGGCCGGGTGACCCTCTGGAACGTGCTGGACGTGGCCGCCTCGGATGTGGGCAGGATGCGCCAGGAGTCTGGAACCTTGGCCAGTAAGGGAGCCTACTCCCGGCCAGTTTGCTTCTTTTTTTAGCGCGGAACGGTTACCGGGGTCGGGATCCTTGAAGGAAGCGCGACAGGACGCGGCAAAGAAAACATTACGTGAAAACGGTCGCGAAATCTTTATTGCGGACTTGGAGGTGGATCTGTATGGCGAGTTTGTTCAAGTTTGGGCAGTTACAGAACTGCTCTAGGAGAGAGAAGTTACTGTGGGTGGACTGTAGGATGGTCTGCTGCAGATGGAAGCAATGGGAATAAAAAAAAAAGTGCTGTAGGATTCTTAACTTTTACAGCGGAGGTGTTAAGGGCTAGTTTCCCCAGTTTCGTGTCCATGGACTAATAAATCTCGACACAAAACTCTGGACAGCTACCGCCATCTATGAGCGATGGCTGCAGCCAGACAACCGGCTTGCCGGTAGTCTGGTTGCCACCATCGCTCATAGGTGGCAGCAACCTTTCCAGTATTTTCACTCTGGTTTTCTCTAGGCGTCGTCCTCGAGGTCGTCCTAAAGGTTGTCCTAGACGTCGTCCCTGAGGTCGTCCTCGAGGTTATCAGAGAGGTTGTCCTTGAGGCTTTCCTAGAAGTAATCTTTCAGGTCGTCCTAGACGTTGTCCTCGAGGTTGTTCTAGAAGTCGTATTTGAGGTCGTCCTAGGCGTTGCCCTCTAGGCGGCGTTCTTGAGGTCGTCCTAGGTGTCGTCCTTCAGGTCGTCCAAGAAGTCGTTCTTGAGGTTTTCCCACCATAGTACAGCTTCGCTGCTCTTCCTTCTTCACCAGAATGGAAAGGCTGAAAGTTTTTTTTGTTCAGATGTTGCTGGAATTTAAAAGTTAACACATTCCTGAAACTGATTATATTTGCTTGGCCAGTTATCCAAAAATTGGAGTGGCAAAATATCCTTCTTTTAGAATTTGGTGCCCTAAAGCAATCATAAATTGTGGAATGACCTTTTCATTCTATATGTTGCATGCCCACAACCTGCCATATTTACTCGAATATAGGTCAACATCTGCATTGGAGAATGTTCAAAAAATAAATATACCGTAATATCCTGAGTCATCGTCCACCCCATTTTTTGGGCCAATATCAATTTCCAAAAAAAACACCGAGTCATCGCCCAGCCCTTCAAATACCCCAACGCAGACTCCGCGATCCGCGAGCACTCATCCTACCCGAATGACGCGGCCGCGGACCTTACAGTTGGAGGATGTCCGTGACAAAGTAAAACGAAGGAGAGAAAGGCACTTCTCTTAGTTTACGCATTTCCTCTGTGAGCGACCCCGAAGTGGTAGTGTACTCGTGCGAAAAGAAAACGATGGAGATAAAATAAAAGTTTGTTTTGCTTACAAAAAAGTCGACTGGACAAAAAAAAATCTAAAAGATAACCCAAGAGTAACCCAGTCAGGGATTGCGAGGTAAGCGAACGCCTTATATCCTGGAATGTAACCGTGGAGTGAAGGTCAATGTCTGTCTCCGCCGAAATGAGGTTGCCGCGAACCTGCTCCTTCTCCCCGCCCGTCGCGAGCACGTCGCGACCGCGGTTGTGCAATGTTTTAGACAAAGCCAACGGGTAAATAAAGCTTTGCTGGAACGCCCTACACAGACGTTCGTAGAGCATCCCAAACCCCAAACGCTGTGCACGGACGCACGCATGTACGGATCAAACAACAAAGTTGCGCAAGAGCTTGTGATTGACAAGACACCCACCCGACTTGGCCTGACGCCAAACTATTTGCCAACGCGATCGCCGGCTTTTCCGCTTTCTCAGCATCGCTCTTCGTCGCTTTTTTGTTGCGCCTGGTTGGATTTTCTATTTTCTTGTAAGCTTTTGTTTCTTTTTTTTTACTACTAGTGGTGATGTGCTTTCACGGAACAAACGTTCGCGCTGTATGCAGATCAGTGATGTTCCTAGCGCATATGCAAGCAACGGACTTTGCAATAGTAAAACATTCTTTCATGAGCATTTTTTCTATAAAATAATAAAACTAGAGTTCTGAGTTTAATGTCTCTCTTGTGCAGCACCGCTAGATACGCAAAGAAAAATGGACGTTTTTTTTTTCCGCTTTTTTCAACTTTTTATGCTCACCCACCGAGACATGGCCCGCCCCACATTTTTTATGTATTTCAGGCGGCAGGGGGGTGGGCAATGAATCGGGATACTACGGTAGTATTTAAAATTTAAATAAATATACCCATGTCAGCCCTGATTTTTAGAGAAGTAGAAAAGAAGAAATTTGTGCCAACATCTATTTTTTACGGTGTGCCAAGTCATTGTAGGTAAGTCTCGCTGGTCGATTGCGCGGGCGTCGTCCGAACTTCCATAATCACGTGCCTCCGAACCGTAGCGCTTGCGTTGTGCCATTTGTGTGAAGCTTCGTGGCCTTGCACCAGTTTGTGCAAATCAAGCTCCACCATTTAGTGCCTCATGCTCGGGGGGGCGACTCTCACGGGAAAGCATTTCAGCTAGCTTGATAAGATCAAACATTTTGCTTACTATTTTAAATCGACGTCTTTTGACCACGGTTATAGGTCGACCTCCAATTCTAAGCACATCTCGGGGGGAAAAGGTATGTCAACCTATGTTCGAATAAATGTGATTGTATGAAATTTTTATAAATATTTGCAAGAAATTGATAAGTACTCGCCTGAAGTGCATGTTAAGTTGCAAAGGGAAGCAGTTTTCTTTCTTATTTCGTGATGAATGTTTCAATCTTCTCTGCAGTTATATTTTTGTTTAATCTTTCAGGGATGGAACCTTTCCTGACCCTGAGCCTGCAGGAAGCCTGGGATGAGATGAAGCCGTCTCCGCCCGGGATTCTAGACAAGATGGTGATCCTTTTCTACTCAACTTTTCGACAAATGACCTGCGTAACAAAACTAGGGTCGGTGCTTTTGTTACAACAAATGCATACACACTTGAAGGCTCTTGATACAGTTATTCAACATCATTTGCATCAATCAAAGTTTGGAACTGATACAGACATTGGAAGTTCTTCAAGTTGGTAAGACAAAGGTATCTCATGTGACTAGAAGAATATTGGGCATCGCTACTAACAAAGCAGCATTGAACCTGGGGGGGGGGATGGAGTAACAGACAGTTCATCTCAACCTTAGATATTCTTTAACCCCCTAAGTGCCTTGAACGAGCTGAGCTCGTCGACCATTTTCTGGCTAAAAATGCCGTGGACAAGCTCGGCTCGTCCAGTGTTTTTTTTCGGTAGCCCTCAATTCTACCGACGAGCTAGGCTCGTCCGAGTAGTTTTGCAGCGCTGATCATAGATGGCAGCACTCGTTTTAGTTGGCAAATATTTTTTTCGCCTCCGCTGATTTTTGCGTAATAACCTTTTTAAATTTTATGTGTAATACGAAAGGAATAACAATTCAAAATAAAAAAAAATATTGCACTTTTAGGTTACTTTTGGAAAAAAAAAATTGGCACTTAAAGGAGCTGTGCAATGATTTTAACGTTGAAACAATTGGCATCTTCTACTTTTGACATTGTTCACCTTGTCACAAATGACAGAAAACGCACCTTGTTTTATTGAAATGTTGCGATTCCGCCGCGTTATAGCGAGGCAAAAATTAAAATATTCCCGGACTTGCAGCCGCGAGCGGCGGCTATGAGAAACATGCGGCATGACATCAATGGGTGGCCTTGTAGAAAGATAGCAAATTGTGCAAATACCTGCTGGAAAAAAGGTAACTTTTCTGTAAATCTTGTCGTTCCAACATAAATATAAATGCGTCAAAAACCTGGTATCATCGACAAAACTTTTATTATACGGAGTTTTAGTGGCGCCATCTATCCTAGGTCCACAAAACCGTCAGCTCTATCTGCTACCGCGAACAGCTGCCAGAAGCCGGAGGGCGAGGGGCACACAGCCTGACGGGTATGGCCGGACCCGGATGAGACTTTCCTCCTTTCACCATATTTTTCGCACTGCGCCCGCCAGCACCTGGTCACGCGGTTGCGAGTGGATGAGTTCTCGCTGCTCACAGATGGGTCTAGAGAGAGAACTTTACCAGAACCCCACACCTACTCAAGTGACGTCACTGCGCACATGACCCAGAAGACGATGTACGAGTTGAGAGGTGGCAAAAACCTGGATCTTTTTCTTTTTTTTTTTAAATAAAAACTAGGGTATCCAGGTAAAATCTGTTTTCTGTAGTTCACTTCAGAAGTGTCAGACATAAACTTCCACAATTATTTAAGCAAAGCCCTGAAATTGTTGCACAGCTCCTTTAAGAGGTTAATGTCTGTGAAATCATTTTTTGACAGCTTGTTGGAACACGACATCTTGGGCATGCTAAAGAGGTTTCTGCATCTCGTTAGTAATTGCCACATTAGTAATTTTTTATTATACAGGACAATGCTTGTAGTATATATCAAACTTTTCTTAGCATGTGAAATACTAACGCGACATCAAATTGTTTTAAATGACCTGCGTAACATATTATCTTTCTTAAAATACGGGTGTTAATTATCACAGTTAATGTTCATGCACTAGCGCGCCACGCGTCATGTTGTCAGATTCCGCAATTCCGGTAATCAGTCGTAGACGTTTCGGCAAAACGCACGAACGAATGCAAGTGTCACGGTCGTCATGGCGCACTGATTTCTTGTATTTTAAATCTTAAGAGCGATCTACGGCAGAACGAGCATCTGCTGTACACATCTCTACCGTTGCACTACCGTCGGAATTGTGGTGGGCAACGGCGTGACAGAGCTACAACATCGTTCCTAGACACATCCCGGACATCATAGTACCGTATTTTCCAGACTCTAGTTCACACCCAATATAATTCTACAACCTGCAGAAAAAAAGAAATTATAATTAAAAAAAAAAAATGTTTGCTTAGTATGAACTTGGTGCATAGTTTGCACACTATGCAGCATTTTATGCAGCATACATAAAAAAATTTCCGCCATATTAGTGCACAAGGAAGCTTGTATCACACAGAAACCATCGTTAGCGCAACCCCTCATTCACGAGATGCACGACGTCTTGTCATGATCGACGATCTTGAAAAACGGTTCCTCGCACCTGTAGACAGTCTGTGTTGCATAGAATCCCAACTTTTAAACTGGCACAGTTTGCGAACTACAGTGCGTGCTGTGCGTGCCGCCCGTGCTTCAGGAGCTGCCCGGGGAGCAGCAGGAGCTGAAGCTGACGGCAAGCGTGTACCTGCCCCTGCAAGGGCGCCTGGTGGTGGGCAGGGAGGACGGCAGCATCGTGGTGGTGTCTGCCACCCAAGCCGTCATGCTGCAGCTGCTCTACGGGAAGCACCACCACGACGGTGAGGACGGGCCGGCAATCAAGCCACTCACGCCTTCTCTTTTTTTTTTAGGCTCGTCTTGGGATTGAGACGAGCATGAGGGGGCCGCAACGGACTAATGACTTGACGAATCCATCTGTGGAAGCTTAATCCGCTTTCCAGACTCGTTGCTGACAGCTCTTAAAGGCATCTCTTACGAGAACCCTCTCGAGGGAAGTGCTCTAATGACGGAGCTTAGTAATCCTTTAGCAAGTTTTTTTATACCTGGCTAAGGCTTCCATTCTGTTGTAGTTGTCGATAAATGTCCCCCGGGTAAAACTTGGATGCATCGGTGTAAAAGCTTGAGCATGATATTCCAACAGACTTCCTTTTGCATCTGCTTTAACTTCATTCACGTTTGGGGCCTGCGATATGACTCCGCGCAACACAGTTTGGACCGCGGCAGAAAAATGCCGCGTGGGCACGTCAAGCCATTGGGACGCATTTTTTTTGAGTAAATGACACTTGCAAGCGTGCCTCGTGTTGTTTTACTCTGTCTTGGTCCCCAATATTTTTGGCACTTTATAGTTTTTAAACCATTAGGAGGGAGGTTGGAACAAGCTACCACTACTCCTTATTGTTGAACTGTGGCAGTCTATTTCGTGGCATGGCATGCCGGATGCGCCTCGACGGCGTTTTACCCCATTGTCTGGTGCTTGGTTGTGCCGGCTCATATTTCCGCCCAGCGTACCAAACGAAAGTACAGCAAAACCTCGTTGATACATTCCCAGTTTTTATGTTTTCCCGGCTTTTACGTTCTGAACCGCCGGTCCCGCTGAGCTCTAGCCCCCTAAGGGCCTTCTCGTTTTTTTTTTTGTTTTCCCAGATTACTTGTTTTTTATTTTTTTTGTGGTCCCTCAAGAAACGTATTAACGAGGTTCTACTGTATCTAAGAAGACGGGGAGTGTGTATATAATCGACTTCACTGCTATAGACTTTTTCATTTTAGCAGTTGCCTCACTGGCGGATAGAGGGCGCTGACGCACTCGGCGCCATCAGGTTGCTTTACTTTGGTTGGTTTCAGTTTCAACGTGAACGTGGCTACATTGCTGTTTTACGTTGTTTTTGCTTAATTTTGTGATACGATCATTTTCCTTGTACAGTATAGACCACTTACAACGAAACCGCTTATAGTGCAGGACCGGGTATAACGCGGCTTTTTTAAACCACCGGTTTGCCTCCCATAGAACTCCATGTAATAACATACCGCTTAAAATGCAGGCGCGCGAAGGGAAATACCGTTTATAGTGCGGTTTCTGAAACAGCCCGCCGACCGCGCCGACCACGCCGACCACCGGCGCAGCGAGCACACTTCCCTGTGCGACACTAGATAACGGCGCTAGCCGCAAGCGGCACTCGCGGCGGGGCAAGGGGTTTGCTCGAAGGAGCGGGGAGAAGTGAAGAGAGAAGCTTCAGTTGCCATAGCGATGGAAGGTAGCACGCACGTGTTGTTCACGTGCGTGCGTCCCTCCGCTGTGTTTTAGGAAACAACCGCAACGACAGACCATTCGCAGGTCGAGGAGAAGTGTTCGCGCGCGTTGCATGCCGGTCGCGGGGCAGCTTCTCCTATCCGCAAACGTGGCATCGGTTGTGATCGTTGACGTAGACGGTTGGTGGAAGCTCATCGTTCCGCGTAAAAGCGCTATCCTTGCCTGTGAATTTTCGTCGTGTGTCGCTATGATAACCCAGCACGTACCAGAAGGACGATCCACCTACTCGTGCGGCGATGTCGCGGCGGCACTCTGAAGACGGCAGAAACGCCCGTGTCGTCGTGTTTGTTTACTTTGACTAAAGTGGTGGTTTCTAAGCATTTGTGTTTTCGAACATCGCCCACATTTCTTATTTGGAGCATTTCATGCCTGTGCTCAAGTTGAAGGTATTACTGGCGCGTATCGTATAAAGGATGCGAATTTTCACGCGTTTTCATCGCTGGAGAAAAGTCATTAGGGTTAGCAATCCTGAATGCTCGCAACGTCCGTACACAACCTGCGACGCCGGTAGAAGGCTGCGCCAGGCAAAAGCCACTCATTTGTTTTAAAATGTGTGACACACTTGAGAGAGGAGTGTACTAGTCTGGTGAAATAAAGACTTTCCTCAAACTAAGCTTTATTTTTAACTAACATAAAATAAATTCTTTTACAAGGGTAAGTTGTCTCATGGCATGTATTTTGGCCTGAAAAATTTATGTTTTGGTTATAACGCGGTACCTCTTATAGTGCGGATTTTCGCGACTCCCGCGACATACGTTATATGCGGTCTACACTGTAGCACACAATTAATGGAACAGTGGTATTGAACCACTTTGAGGACTACGAGGTATTTTTTAGCCTAAATTACGGGCTTTTTTTTACCAACTCTTGATGTATCTGTTTATGGTCGGTTGCGAAACCCCTGGCTGATGTACAGGGAAGATTACTATCTTCTACGGCCGTATCCGATCGCAAGTTTACTACTCACTGTTTTTTGTTTGTTTTTTGTCGTGGGCACCCAACCTTTAGTGAACTTCGCAGACTAAAAACGTATCGTGTAACGACTTAGATAATTGATATAAACAAGTAGTATCGTCTTAGCCTCTTTTTTAAAAAATTCAGTACTCGAGCTTGTTTTGATAGGCCAACTAGGAAATTTCTGAGATTATCAACCCTGGAGTACTCATAGCAGCATTTTGCGATATTGGCTCTAGAAAATAAATTATTTTATATGAACATTTCCTTACTCAAGATATAAATAACAGGCCTGTCAAATTAAATCTGGCATTTTTCTTCCGTGAAATGCGCCAAATATAATTAAAGGGCGCAGAAGGAGAAATAGTTTGGAAAGTTTGGCTGAATTTTAGCGCTAAGCACCACTTCCCGAACCTGTGTGAACAAATATTTATTTGTTTGTACAGATTTGCTTTGTAAATTTCGGCATCGCTAGCCACCAAAGGTAAACCTCTATCCGCCATCGACAATCCTAGACTCAAATGATTGTTATGCAGGTGTTTTTTTGCGGCATTTATTATTGCGTATTTCAGCACTGGCAAAATTTAATAAAACGTAGTACGCAAAAAAAAAAAGAAAGCGTCGTAGTTGTTGCGCATGCGCCGAACCCAAACCGCATTTTGGATTTGCAAAGAGAAACGACGTCATTTCTTTGTGCACGCTATTCTAAAGCTTGTTACTGTTAAGTTGTCTGTGGCAGTTTCTTACGTGGGAAGTCCCAACCTTTGTGTTCAAATAAATTAAGTGGATGGCACTGGTCATCTAAATATAATCAATAAATCACTTATATGACTGTCGAAATGGGAGCGAGCATGGTACACAATTCCTTAAACTTCATAAGTAAACCGACCAACCGAATGTCTACGTCGAAAAACATTGAGGACCTCATAGACATGTAGGTGTGATATTATGAACAAACAAATCACCTGATGTGTATGTACCATTACTTCTAGCTTCAGATAAAATACAAGTTAAACGTTCGTTGTCTATCTCCTTCGCGAGTTTCCTCACAGAATCAAAAGAAACTGATTTCAATATATTATGAATACAAAGAACGATACTTTCAGGAAATACAGATAGTCTCCTTGCGCTGACTATTCTTGACGCCTTCCGATCCTAAATGCGCGATATAAACATACGAGCTTGTTACTGAAAATGTTCCACCACTATTAGTAAACAAGCCTCAATTGTCATAAGGATCTTTGAACACTCGTGAAGTCTTAGTCGTCGGGTAGACATATCGGACAACAGTTTCCGAAGTAAGGCAAGAAAGCGCGGTGAAACGTGACGAAAAACACGAATACAACGTATCCGCCAATGCGCGGAGGGGAGAACGGACCAGCAAGTTGAAGCAACCCAATGGCTGCCACGTCACGTGATTCCAAGATGGCAGCGCCCATGCTTGGGAGGATGAAATGGTCTATAGGGACACTGACAAAGTATTTGTACTCAATTAGATTTTTACTGAAACACAAATCACAAGAGCCTAATTACCTAAAAATATTATTGCGGCTCAAAATCTGTCTTTTTCTTGTGCGTAAACTGGAAGTCAAAAGTGGAGAGTTTAGGCCTGCTCTCACTCTCTTTTCCATGGTCACGCGTGTTGAGGTTGTGGCGTATGAAGGATTTTTGAGGCTGTAGCTCATCTAAAGCACACATGCACTAATAAAAAAAATCATCCATTTTATGACCACTGAAATGCATATAAAGAAACCGAGTTGCTCCCTGCGACTATGCACCGTGCAACTGGCGCCCGGTTGTGCCAGCTCATATTGTCTTTTAGAGAGGGTACTTGTCTGGTAGCAATACTGTATCGATATGAAAGTAGTAGTGTTGTGCGGATATTTGAAATTTTGAACAGTAGTTTCGAATAATACGCTATTCGATATTCGCTTCGAGATGAACAGCTGCTATATTCATATTTTTCTAAGTGTCAATTGCGGCGGGTTAGCCCCGTTGAGCGCACTTCTTACCGAACACAGGTGCACTGTGGAGAAGCAATACCAGTGGAAGCGAGCTCCCTGGGTGTTGCTTTTCCGCAGTGGACCGCTGCTCGGTAAGAAGCGCACTTACCAGGGTAACCCGCTGCGGTCAACACTTGGAAATGTATGAAGAACGCAATTACGTGCTTGGAAGAAATGCACACTTTCAAAGCAGAATGGTGCACGCGTGAACCTGGTGTATGTAAAAAGACATGGAAACTGTGAATGTTGATATCTACATCGCTGCAGAATTTTCCGGACTAAACTGTGTCTTATACAGGAGTTGTTAGGCAGAGATGCCCTGACAACCTGCATTCATCATTTGTTCTCTATCTGTTTTTACGATTCAAGATTGAAAAAATAATGTTTATATATAGCGGGATTTGTAAATCCACTCAATTAGGTAGAGCTGGGCATCTCTACAGGTTTAATTTGATGTCAAACATGTCATTTACTTGCCATCTCAACTCATCATACTTTTTGAGGTCACGGTCCATAAATATAGCTGGATTAAGATGAACTTATAAATGGAGGATTAAAAGCTTGGAAACATCCTTCACAAGTTGAGCTGGATTTTTGTTTAGGCATTTTGCAACAGTAGTAAAAGGCTTAAAGAACTGTTTGACATTCAATTAAAAAATATTCGGCCAAAACCACTATTCGCTTCGAATTCGCTTCAAACTGAAAATCCACTATACTCCGCGACAACTTTTCTTGGCAATGCAGTGGAAGGTAGAGGCCCGCGTCCCCTCTCCCATTTTGAGTGTGTGCGGGCTCTCCTCTCCCCGGAAATGGGGGAGGAGGAGAGCCTGCGTACACTCAAAATGGGAGAGGGGACGCGGGCCTCTACCTTCCACTGCATTGCCAAGAAAAGTTGTCGTGGAGTATAGTTGCACATGACTAGAAAGTACACATTGTTACTATAACATTGGTTCTTTAAAAGGATGTTCACTGAAATCTTCAAGCCAAAGCACGGCGGCAATCCATTCCGCCATGCTTTGGTGCTTACCGTGAAATACCGGGCAAGCGCCCACTCAAAATTTAGAGATAATTGCGAAAAAATGGGGGATGGGCGTTTGTCCGGTCATCAATTTTACATATAAAGGTACTGTACATATTTTCTCAGATCTTAGAAATTTGGATATGGGCACTTAATGTGGAATAGGTGTATGCGCTGTATTCTACGGTGTATGGCCCACTTTTTTTCCCTTTGTCATGATTTTTTCTCAATTTGTTTCTTTTCGAGTTGTGCCAAGCAGGCACTAAGAAACATTAATTTGTTATTAGTAAACTAAATTTCAATTAATTGTGCTGAGTCATGTAAAAACGAATGCCGAAAACCATAAACATAAACACAGAGTGTGTTATACGGCTGGGTGTTATGAAGAAAGCAACATGTTACGTGTGACTGATGCACAAGGCATGTTACGTGACATTGTGTTATCACACAAACACAGCTTGTGCCCTGCTCATTCGCAACAAAATATATGCATCTCCGAGTTTATCAGATACGATTGAGACATGCTTCAATTTTTGTACTGATTATTTGGGGAAATATTGGCTGACACCTTTCCTATCTGACTACAATGTGGGCGGAATCTGCTAGTTGTTTACTAACTGGAACTTGTCCAAAGCGAATGTTTCCCTTGGTAAGAAGTCACGAAAATCAAAAAGCACGAAGGACAAGGCGTTGGTAGTGTTGTTTGTTTGCTGTTGTTGAATATAAATTATGTACTTCCCTTTTGCGTGTACCGTTACTGTATGTTTCTAGGTTGTCGCATTTTAACAGGTTCTCTTTTTTATATTTTTTTTAAACTGTCTTGCTGAATTTATATTATATAATTATTTTACATATAACTTTTTGTATTTTATACACACTTCTTTTTAACCCTTTGCCTACCGCCAAAATAAAAAAAAACTATTTGAAAATACCGAATATTTTTATGTGCCCCTATAAATTTAATATGCAATACAAAGGCCGAAAACAAATGCCAAAATGTTTATTATATGAAAAATCTTTGAACACACTGCAAAAGAAAAAGGGACTAAAGTTCTGCTTCACTGCATTACAACAAACAGTTCACATCACCTCGCACATGAATGTTTAGGCCGGGCGTAGCAGTACTGCAGACAGTTCACATCACATTGCACGCAAAGTGAATGCAAAACGTGGAGGGGCTGGCGGGGGATTTTTTACATTGATTCTAGTCCATGCCAACACGCCGACACAATGTCCTCCTCGAAATCGGAGTCGTGTAAGCTCAAATCCAAAAACTCAGTTGCATTGCTCTCACTGTTCGATGAAAGATTCATTTCCTCGTCTTCTGAATTTGAAGAGACGTCACAATATCTTTGTTTTCGCCCCAATTTCGAGGCAAGATCGTTGCTACGAACGCCGCGACCAGAAGTTGACATTGCCATTTTTAAATTCCCTGTTGCCTGCGTTGGAACAATTTTCTGCCAAATTCAGAAATTTACCAGGTTTTTATTTTCCGTGGAGCGCCATCTATCTACGGGAAACCTCACTAGAAACACGTGGACTAGCCCAGTTCGTCCATGGTAGCGTATTGGAGCCCGAATCAACGTGGATGAGCCCAGCTCGTCTTCGGGGGGAGCGGTGCAAACGGTGTGGACGAACTCAGGTCGTCCATGGTAGGGAAGGGGTTAACCACTAAAATGCACCTTATCATGACGTGCCAGTAATATATGTTTCGTTGTACAATTTTAGTGCAAACATTTTGCTCAGTTTCTTTATTATCGTTGCCAAGTTTCGAATCAATTAATGATTTTTCTCTTATGACTTTAAACAAGTATTAGTTCCTTCCTCCCATCGCAGTTCAGTGGGGTCATTGAGACCTCGCGCCAATCTCGTTGTGTCGCCCGCTTCGCACCGAGGTCGAATGGGAGGAATTTCCAGACTCGTTAGACTTACAGTTCTCAAAGCCGTCTTCCTGCGGGGGCTTACGCGAAACACCTCTTCCTCTTCGTCTTCTCAAAAAACAATTTTTCATAAACGAGCACTTGTTTATCGTAAGTTAAAAGTACTTCAATCGGCGCACTACAGTCGTGCGAATAAGTGGGAGAAGTGGCGCAGTCGCACACTCAAGCGGCTAGAAAAAAATCCCATCGCAATTCAAAGCGATGTGAAAGACAGTAAGAAATACCACTATTTAGCCCTACCGTGGTCTGGGAAGGGTCCTATAGTCAATGGCATAGGGAAAATGTAAGGTGCATCTTTAAAATGCCCTGCTTTTAGCATGCACTCCATGCCTTCCGCCATGCTCCGGCTGCATGCTCAAGCTGCGCGAGACTCGGAAGCGTCATTGAAAGCAGGAAGCTCGCGCTGGAGGCTGGACAACTAAAAGCTCCTTCCTGCCGTTCTCACATTGTGAATGACTACGACTAGGGTTCCGTGGTTTCAAATAAATTCAATAACATCCGAAAAACACTCGCCTGTAAGAAAAGTTCTGAATCTGATTTTTGCAAAAAATTTAGAATTTGGAAGTGCCGATGGCCGAAACGAAACCAAAAAAGCAGTTTTCTACTAATAAGTTTGGTCAGAGCAGTGCTTCAGTGGTCATCGGGAGAGGCCTCCCCAGATTTCTTCAAAATCTCGTGGTATTGACCGAAGAAGGTTTGCCGTTTATCCCGTCAGGGTTCATTCGGGACAATGAAGCATTGTAATTCTGGGTCACGACACAAAACGCTGCTGTTTTGATTTCCAGATTTAACTTCTTCGAGGAAGGTAGGGTCGTGATTTGACAACTGGGAAAGCTATATGAACTCTTAGATTTAACAGTAAGGACAGCTGAGGCTTCTATCTCACCACTCCACCCCTTGCAGCTACGGGGAGAAGCGGTGGAATAGGGTGGAAAGAAAAGCTTTCCAAGGACTACGTCGAGGAGTTTAGTGATCTAATGCGTCTTTGTCAAGTTTTGTCAGTGCACAGTTAGTATTACTAGTAATGGCAAGGGTGCCAATGTCACGTGGTACTCGTGCATTCTTATAAATCTAGAGCAATGTTATACCCACTGATTAATATATATTTTTATTTTCAATCTTGAAAATTTGAAAACATGGCAAAAGTAAACTTCCTATTTCGAAGAATTGGTAGCCTAACAAAAATAAACTGCGATAAACTCGAAATATTTGGCACAAAATGAACTCCAAAAAACACCCTAAAATTGCTTGCAGCTTAAGAAATGTGGGGTACGGCTTACCACATTTGTGCCTCTTGCTTCGCGATTCGTCCTTCGGGGACAACCTCGCTGGCCGTGTCGTGGAGCAGAAACGAGATGCCCCGGACGTACCACGCCCCGTGTTTCCTAAACCACGGGAGCGCGAAACCGACCCGTTCTTAAAGCCCGGTCGAGATTTCCGCCCCAACTGAAGCGTCTCATCCCCTCTGTCGCCCAGAGCGTCCCCAGCACCAGCTGCTGCACGGCCACGTGGGGCGGGTGACGTGCCTGCTGTACCCACACCACGTGCACTCGCGCTACGAGATTGCCCACCTGGTCTCCGGAGGGGTGGACTTCTCGGTCTGCCTGTGGGACCTCTACGCGGGCACCCTGCTGCACCGCTTCTGCGTCCACGCCGGGGAGGTCTCCCAGCTCCTGGTGCCCCCCAACAACTGCAGCGTGAGCCGGGGCCCGCCTTTTCCTCGGGAATGGGCGCTTAGTGGGGAATGGGCGGAGTATTCTACAGTAAATCAACTCTTTTTAAAAAGATATAAGACAGGGGCAGCAGTTTACAGCATTGTGAGAATCGCTCAATTTGGACGGGTTTCCAGGTTTCGGTTTCTTGTTGGAGCGCATCTTTGCGCCCGCAATCCTGCTCCCCGGTGGTCACGGCACAAAGCCACGCTCTTGGCTCCCTCATAGGATGGGGAGAAGTGGGACGCACGTGTGTTGCAAGTCTCAGCCACCGGGGAGCAGGACTGCAGGCGCGGGAATGCGCTCCGATAAGAAACCGAAGCCTAAAAATACGTTCAAATTAAGCATTTTTTCAGAACGCCGTAAAAAGCTGTCCCTGCATTATATCCTTCTAACAAAAGTTGATTTAGTGGTTTTCAATGATGCTCAGCACGTTTCTGATTGGAATCATATATCTATTTTCATTAATTGAAAAGTTCATGAACAAATTTTACTTAATTAGCCGACTGATTGTTACGTTTAGCCCCATATACTATGTCCCCATGGCCGTATAACTCACCTGCATTGACTGCATAAGTGTAGCTTTCATGGGCTTTTCTAAACAAATCTGTAAAACTTAAAAAAAAGCACTGTTCATATTAGTGCGAAGGGTGAGGTTGGTTTGTCCTCAAGACCAACTCACCCCATGGCTCAGTCCGTGGAAGGTTGAACTAGGGGGGGGGGGGGCACTGCAATTTGGGTGCTCGTGGAACCCATGAGACAAGCTGCCAGAACTCCTGTGTTCTATGAAACCAAGTTTGAGAACCCTTGCGATAAGAAACCAAAATCTACAAATGCTTTTAAATTGAATGTTATTATGAAACGCATAAAATGCTGCCCCTGCTTTATATATATATATATATCTTTCTAAAAAGAGTTGATTTAGTGGTTTTCAATGATGCTTGGCAAGTTTCTCAGTGGAATTATATGTACCTATCGCTAATTAAAAAATGACCCTATTTTCTGCACTACTATAGTCTGCAAACTATACACGTTTAAAATTTAAAATTTTACTTGATGTGGACTATCTACAGGTGCGGACTATACAAAGATTTTTTTTTCTAGGTCTTTCACTGTGACAAGGCGTGAAGGATTTTATGAATAATGGAGTATATTAATGTTGATTTACGTATGATACAAGCTTCTACGTAAGCTAATAAAGCGGGAATTTCTCAAGGTGTATTGTGTATGATTATTTTTACTTTCGGTCTAGTAGGCACTAAGTTCGAACTATGTACCAGGCGTGGCCTATAGTTTGGAAAATACAATAATCAGTAAATTTTAGTTAATTGTCCCGCTAATTAGTATGTTTTTGCAATCCTAGATCTTTGCCAAGGCTGGTAGTTTGTTCCTGGAAAGAGTTTCTATTTTTCTCAAACAGCATATTTTTAGGGATTTCTGAAAGCTTTTGCAGATACAGCCTACATAGCCATTGGCCTGTGGAAGGTAGTGCTTAGTTTGTGCACAGGGGATTGTATTGTGAAGGGTTTGGCAGTCCACAATAAAGAGAATTCTTCCATACCGGTCTGGGTTGTGCCCGCAGAACCGTGTGCTGCAGAGTGTGTGCAGCGTGGCGAGCGACCACTCGGTGGCCCTGGTGGGGCTGAAGGAGCGCAAGTGCGTCATGCTGGCCTCCCGGCACCTCTTCCCCGTGGCGGTGGTCAAGTGGCGCCCCTTCGACGACTTCATGGTGGTGGGCTGCTCGGACGGCTCCGTCTACGTCTGGCAAATGGAGACTGGTGGGGGCCTTCGCTTTACTGCCCACTCCATGAAGGGGTGTTCACACAGGGGATGCCCTTGGCTAGGATTGCGCACAATGTCGGGCGCAACTAGCCAAGGGGCTAGGGTTGCGCCCAATTTTCCGCTGGGCACAACCGCAACAGGAAGACTGTTGCCAATACGCACCGGCCGACCGGCAGTTCAAGCGCCAGTTTACGGGCAATTTGTTCGGTGCAGTGCGTGTAATGTTTACGACAAATTGTGGTTTCCGGCAGACGTGAACAAAAGTTGTTCTAAATGCTACACATTTAGAACACCTCTTGAAACGGCCAAAGCAATGGCCAATTTTTTATGAGCCTTACTCTCGCGCAGTTCTTGGCATGTTAAGAGCTCATCCCCTCGTTGAGATTTTCTTCTCACCATTCTTGGAACTGCCGGTGAGATCGGCACTGTATCAGCACTGAGTCGGTGCCACCCGGAATGTACAAACCAGTCTCTAGGCCAGCTGTTGCCTCAAGCGACCTTTCGTGTGACAATGCAGGTCACCTGGACCGGGTGCTGCAAGGCCTGCAGGCGGAGGAGGTGTTGAGCGCCTGCGACGAGCACACGGGCCACCCCGGAGAGCGCATGACCAACCCAGCCGTGCACCTGTTTCGGGGCCTGCGCCACCGCAACATGGCGGCTATCCGCCACGCCGCACAGAGGGGGCTGCACCACCTCCAGCACCACCCGCACCACCACCAGAGCTCTCAGGTGCCCCCCGAAAAACTGCACCACCAGGTGGGGAGGCTGCGGGGGTCTGGCCAGGCAGAGAGGGAGGGAGGCAGCAGTCGATCGGGGCCTTACCTTCGTGCACCCTCAGTAGTTTGGAATTGGGAGGGACTCGTGTATAAGTAATAATTACCGTATTTTCCGGAAATGGGTCCGCAGACTATACACATTTGACCCTTTGATGCCCAGCATTGCCTAGAAGCAAAAACTCTAGAATTTTTTATTTTCTTCCGTGCCATCAGGGCCTCAGTAAATTTAGTGCCCTCTTTCGCTTGGGAGGGATACCTGCACTAGCAGCGGAGGATCGAAATGCATCTTCAAAACTGATCACTCGTCCTTCAAACCAAAGCCGACAATAGATGCGACACATGATGGCGTGCACTAGTGGCCTCATAATTGTGAAAAGACAGACCAGTGCAGGTATTACGAAGTTGGTTATACCTTTCTCTACTGTGCAGAATTAGAAATGCGCCTGGGCCTTCTCCCACATTATACAGTCTAAGCTCGTTATAACAGACCTTGATTTTGACCAAGGTTTTGGTCTGTTGTAAAAGCAGTATGTTGTATGCAGATATGAAGTTGAGTCAATTGTATGTAGAGGAAAACCAACCAAACTTCACAAATCGGTATGTTATATCCAAATGTCTGTTGTAACCAGGTCTGTTATAATGAACTTAGTAACTGCTTTCATTCGTTTGACGTCAAGTAGTGTTGCAAATGCGCAATGTTGCTTAGAGCAACATTTTTATAGCATGCTTACCAAAAGACGAGAAGGGAAATTTTTTTCCGAGATCACATTTCTATTATTTTGTGTGTTCTAAAATCATGTCAGGGTGTGTAGGTAGTATTGAAGTAAAGTTTTGGGCATGAAAGTTTTAGAAGCTGAAAATTTACCCTGATGCTTACAAGTGTGGAGTCCAAGGATTTTTTTTTTTTTTCTATAGCGTTCACTGTGACAAGATGCGAAGGGTTTTATGAATAAATTAGTATGTTAATGTTGATTTATGTAGGATACAAGTTTTTTTGTGAGCTAATACACCAGGCATTTGTACAGGTGTGCCCTGTATGATCATTTTTACATTCAGACTACGCGTGTAAACTATGCAACAGGTGCGGACTATACATCGAGTGCGGGCTATAGTCCGGAAAATACAGTAGTAGTTGTTTCGAGGATTTATTTTTTTTTTATAAAAAATTTAAAACTTTTTTAACCCAGAATGTGTTATATGAGACGGGAAATAATTGATTGCCCCTAACCATTTCCGGTTCTCACTCCGGCGGTGTGAGTGCCCGCCGATGCAATGCTCGTTGGCAAAACGTCTTGCTCAAGTAGATCCCAGGCGCACCCGCAAGTCACGTTGCATGATCAAACATGAAACGATGCCAGCGGCACGCTCTACTCGTAGCACCTTCTAAACGGGCTCTTTTTTTTTATATAATTTGGTTTGCTTTTTGGGTAGGGTTGTTTGCAAAGACGCAGCACGGCAAGAGTCTTTCGTCTTCTCCTTTTCATTATGTCTCACTTCTGCAGTTACAGTGCCAGCACGTCACATCCTATGTGACCACTGACTTTGCCACAATAGTGGAGGAAAGGGGCAATCAATTATTTCTCGTCTCACTCACTGTTTTACAGCGGCAGCTGTTACTGGCCTGTCCCCCGTTTTTGTGACGCACGAGCATAACCGTAAAGTTTCCCCGCTAAATTTGGCGGGAAAATTAATGTTATGAGACCTGATATTATGGGACCTACAGACAACTTCAGGTTCCTCGCTTAATTTAGCGGCAAAATTGACGTCACGTGACCTATGCACCAATTCAGTTTTCCTACTAAATTTGGCGGGAAAATTGATGTCGTGGCCTGACATCACAAGACCTACAGCCATATTCAGGTTCCCGCAAAATTTGGTGGAAAAATTGACATCACGTGACCTATGCATCAGTTCAGTTTCCCCGCTACATTGCGCGGGAAAACACACCACAACCTTAATTTCATTTATTCATCAACAGCATATTGGTGCAAAATCAACGCCACAGCATTTCATTATCAAATCAGCATATGACGCGCACGATCGGTGCAATGTCAATCAGTCGACCGTCATCGTCAAATCTGTGAATAAAGGCCTGTTCACACACTTGCAACTCTTTAGAACCGAGTGCCTTAAATCCTCTTATAATCTCTTACGACGGGAGAACACACTGACACGCTGGTGCCATCTTTGCGGCGGCCCTGGAACCGCATGCGAAGGTTTGGCTGTATTTGCGAGGTGAAATGTACATACTACTTCTGAGAAATGTTTGTTTCTAACATTGACAAAAGTTTTTTAAGCCAAGAAAAAAATGAATGATGCTCAAAAGAAGTTGAAAATATACGGGACCGCCCTGTGTCCCACTGCTTTCCGATAGGTGATGCCAGTGTGTCCTCTCGTCTCGAGATTTTAAGGGGTTTCAAGGCACTCGGTTTTAAGAAGTCGCACGTGTGTGAACGGGCCTTAGCAGCACAGTTGCTGCTGTCTAAACGCATCGCGTCGTGGGATCGTCGCCCAATTTTTTAGCCTCTTCCGGTTTTACCGTTGCGTTCGGAAAATCTCAGCTCGGGTTTGTGATGGGGTGCCGTTCTACCGCAGCATGGAATGGGGCACGACGTCGGCGACAGTGCCCATGCCCGAGCCAGGACGCATCCGCTCATGATCCAGGGCCTGAGGACCAATCCCGTCGATCAGGACAGCCACGTGCTCTTCTTCGACATTGAGGCGCTCATCGGTGAGCGGCACACCTCCCTCGGAAACATTCTCTCTCTCGTCCCGTGCTTGTCCTTGGAAACCTCACCCCTGTCTGGTGCTCGTGTGCTGGCAGTCCCCATGTGGTTGTGCTGTTTGGCCTGCTACAAATCTGAGAGCTTACCTGGTGGGCACGTCTTTTGAGCTGTCTGCTTTTTGTTGCAATGCCAGAGAGTAATTTTGCTTATTTCTTTGCTTCACTTATTTTGCTTTTTTGATCTAAACTTGCTGTAGTTCTTTTTTTTCTGCTTAGTAGTTGCATTTTTGTGTCTTCAACGTTCCCTTTAGGTGGTGGTAGAAACTCCAAAAAAAAACATTCGCTTTTAAGCACCTAGGTAAGGCACTTATGTGACAAAATAAATCCTCCCTTCCTTCAAGATAAAAAAAATATTTAGTGCAACACAGTGTGAAACAGATTGAGTTAAAAGAGGAACCGAAACAAGTTTCTATTTCATAACGGCTACCTTGAAATAGAAGTTAGTCTCAGTTGCACTCCTAACTCGAGGTATGTCTTGCGGCATAACAAAATAAACTAAAAAAAAAAAAAATCTATTTTTTTTTTTAAAAGGAGGAGGGGGTGAATACATTTTGTGACAAACATGTCCTTATCAATAACTTTTAAAAAAATTATTCCTTTTTTTTATTGGTTTAATGTACCGTTTGAGTGTAAAAGCTTCCATTAATTCTTTTGCCCTTAAAACCCGTGTTTTTCTTTGGTTTTTTGTGTTTTCTAAACATGTTAGATGGCTAATGCCTTTGCTTGCCACTGTTTTTGTTTTTTTTATTTTTCTCACACACTCTGCACTGTTTGGCTTGTGAGCTTCACTATCTTCACTGTTCCCGTTTTGTCACACTGCATGCGCACCATGCTTTGCGAAGGGTGCCTGCTGATTCTAAAGGTGAAGCAACGCACGGATGCTTCGCACGCACACACTGCCATGCTCTCCTCCAGGGATATGTCTGAGCTGCTGGCCGAGTTCAGAGGTATGCTACGCCGCTTATGCTTCCCGCCTGGGGTAGATAAATGTGTCTATGATGCCTTCTTGTTGTCTCGTGTTGTGGTTTCTTTTTAGTGTTCTACAAAAGTTGTTTGGGGGGAAAGAAGTGGAAGGAAAAACTGGGCTGCATTTCTACTGCGCTTCGCCGCAGACATCTGCTTTATCGGCGGAAAATGGCCATGCATCATAGAAGAAACATTGAAATGCTGTTGCAATATTTATTTTCCACCGAATACGTAAAATACCGTGCAAGCGCCCAATGAAACTTTGGAGATAACTGCAAAAAAATAAGGGAGGGGCGCTTGTCTGGCCTTCTTTTTACATGTAAATGTACTGTGCGTATTTTCTCAGATCTTACAAATTTGGGAATGGGCGCCTAGTGTGGAATGGGCGCATGTGCAGTGTTCTACGGTAAATTTAAACAAACCTCGACTTCTCACTTAGCCCTCGATGGTAGCCAAACAAGCCCACTTTTGCTTCTGTGTTTGTGGCCAAACTCTGTTGTCCCTTTTCCGGCGTCTCATTGGCAAACCGAACACACAAAGCCTTATTGGACCAACGTTTCTATTCAGCAATGTCCTCTCGCGAGGCATTGTAAAGGCAGCTAGAGCACTTCCAGGAAGCGCGTGACTTCTGTCCGAAAAAGGGGGAGACTTCGCAAGTCTCCCCCTTAGTGCAGTGCTTAAGCATTGGGCTCGCAACCTTGGGGTCACGGGTTGGTCTCCCCTTCGGAGCATTGAGAATTGTGTCCTTTCGTCTTAATTCATTCACTTACCGTATTTGCTCTCATAATGAATGCACTTTTTTCCCCGAAAAATGGACACATATTTGCAGGGTGACGTTCGTTACGTGGGGTAAAATTTTTGCATTTACACACCTCGTGCAAATGTCATATGAGGTGCCAATATGACACGGCAAGGTACTGTGGCATGTCTCCACTGATGGGCACACCCACGGCCGGTCGGGGGTGCACCACAGTAACCATGGTTCATGAATTGCGAACCTTTTTAGGGCGCTTTCGGCGTGCCTTTTGCCGAAGGAAAAGCACCCTACAAAGCTCACTCAGCACGGAGAGCAATGCGACTCTTCTTAGGCCTAACCACTTTCACGATTTCACTGTCTGAAAGCGGACATCAGACGATGGCGTGTTTGTTGACATCAATGCATCCGATAGGCAACTAACGTCCAGGGCTGGGCAATTCCTCGACCCAAGCTTCGTCAAGCGTGGGCGCTGCTCAATTTCACGGTTGATCACTTCCGCAACTACGCACTTGCAGCCATTACGAGGGCGGCTTGGCTTGGCTTGGCCTGACCTGGCCTGACCTTGACCACTTGGTGGCAAAGTAAAATTGGCTTGGTGGCTAGCTGAGTTGGATGCAATTCGAGACTCGTGGAGCCAAAAATTGGAGGTGCATTCATTACCAGGGGTGTGCGAATACTCGAATATACGAATTCGAATCGGATAGCAAGTTCCTGAAGAATTCGATTTGCGAATCGAATTCCTAGTATTTGGCCACTCGAATATTCAATATATTCAGCCAAAGACACGCGGTTGGAGCAGGGTTGACAAAAGAGCCGTTTTATCTCCTGATGTAAGTACCGTGATGTTAGACAGACCATGTGAGAAACTCCTCTTGGTCCTACCATTCCACAAAAGTCTAGCGCAACGGTTAGAAAAAAGAAAAGTAACGAACGCCACAACTTTATAGCACGCAGATTTACTCATGATTGTTTTTCTTTTCTTTTCACAAGTAAAGCTCCCTTGTTTCAAATTGAAGCGCCGATGTAGAACAGACTTGCCACACTCACAGAAATCGGCGACTGCAAGATCACAAAAAGAAAACCATGTTAACCACGCCGATAAAACCAGCTGAGTTGACGTCGTTTTTTCGGAACCGCAAGCTGCAAAATCTGATCTGGAACGAAACAGAACGGAAAAATGGTGTGCCTAAATTTGAAGAGGGTTTCCAACCGTTCGATAGCCGCGTTTAAATTACGAACTGCAAGAAGGCGACGAAAAGACGAAAGCGTTGACCGGGCAGGCGTCGTCGCTCTACCATTTCCTTGCCTTCTTTCCATGTGACTACGCTACACATGCGCACTTACGACCAATCTGCGCAGGAGCCGTCCCCGTGGTTTCAGTTTTGCTTGCTCCTTCTTTTAAATCGAGGCTCTCTAAAACAGGATGGACGGAGGAATAGATGCATAGCTGCAGTATGATGGTGACTTGCGCCCCCTAACCACATGTTTTTTTTTCTTACTTTAGATTATATTGTTTAAACCTGTTTACGCTGATTTAACAGCTATCTGTTTATTTATATAAAATAAAATTGCGGGTGTTTTGTTCTCCCTTAAAATTGAAACCAAATATCGCAAAATGCCCCTTTTCTGAGATATGTAAATATAAAAAAGGTGATGTCGCGTTGTTAGGTCGTGCTTTATCGAGAAAAAAAAAAGACACGCATGGCTCTAACTTTTTTTTTTTTTGTGACGCTTAGGGTAAATATTTTATGTTTGCATCATAAAATTGGATCTTTAGTGCCCAACGTCCATCAGCAGCTGCTTTTCTTTTTTTTTTTTTTCACCAGAACTCTTATACATTTGACCTTTTTGTTCTGTACAAGACGCATATTCTGCACCAGGCGCATACTCTGCACATATAATAATCTCATTCACAGCACACTTCGAAAAATTCCTACAAATAAAATCACTATTCAATATTCTATTCGATATTCGCCTTTTTTTTTCTTAATTCGATTTGGGGTTCAATTTGATAACTACTATTTGGTATTCGCGCACCCTTATTCATTACGCGAGGGAAAAAAAAAAAGTCCAAATATTAGTACCCGTTGTGGGGGGTGCTTTCATTATGCAAGTGCATTCATTACGCGATTAGATACGGTATGACTCTTCCGCACAAGTGCATTTGTTTCGTGTTACGAGTTCAAACTTTCCTGTAGGGGGCTGCCGAAAGAAATGCTATTGCATTTAATATTGTCATAAATGAAGGCGACGAGAGGATGGACAGTGAATTGAAAATAAAGCTTTAATTGGCGAACTTGTGCTAAACAGGATAAAGAATGAGCGTCGAGACAGCAGAAAATCGGGCGGCGATTCGGTGGCATAACAGCAAGCAAAAGCATGACTGACTTGACAAGGTCGCGGGCCGCTCTTTATCTAGTGCGCATCAGCATCGTGAAAATTCGGCCGAGAAGGTTCGAGCATTGAGCGTTCGGGGTGAGGATGAACAAGCACTTTCGAGAACAAGAAACTGGGGCGAAATTATAAAAGTTGCGTCCTGAGGAAGAATAAATGCAAATCTTCTAGAATACCTTGACCAGGCGCTGCTTGGTCAGCCCTGCGCGCGACATTATACCCCCCTTTAAAAGCGCATTGTCCTGATGCAATGCGAAAAGACAACAAAAAAGGGTTAATAAAAATTAAAAAAACGTTCAGCCTTTCCACTCTTGTGAAGAAGGAAGACCAGCGGAGCTGTACTCGATACACTGCCGCAACACGCACGCGCCCGATTCCCGCTCCTTCTTATCTGACGCGCCGCCGATCGTGGATACGTCTTTGGCGAACCAGAGTCGGTCACACACGGCGCACGTGACGCCAAACGGGTTCTCCACGAACTCCCTTCGGGACCTCGCCGTTGCACCCGGAAACTGTTCAGCCGGCGTGGAGTGCAGTCATCGCCGAGCCTCACGCTTGCGCTTGGCTTCCGTGGCACAATCGTCGTCCGTGGCATTCGCCCGCCGGCGCCGTTTACATCGCTGGTTCTGTTCTCGGCGGCGACTTTCCAGGCAAGTGATGTGCTCTTTGGCAAGGGAATCTGAAGCGCTGGACGCAGTGGAAGTCGAGGCGACAGCGGCTTTGTGGCGGCTGTGGACCATTCGCACTGCTGCGTACGTCGCCGCTCCTTCCGCAGCCTGTCTCCTTTCCCCGAAAGGGCGCGCGGCCGACCTATCATGAGTCCAAACCG